GGTTGCGGACCTTGAAGTTGCCCATGGGAACCGAATGGCGTATCTAGTAAATGTAAATCTAGCATAGCCCGTGTTTTCTGTAATAGGTGCCAACACAGAGGGAAGTCAACTGTTCTATTGTTTATCTGTGCTTTACATTGAAAATTGTCATGTGTGCTCCATGGGTGTCCGGTTTTCATTTGTTTTAGGATAGATCGTCTGTCACAGGTTCACACAGCGAGCCACGTACCATCAAGGTCAATTAGAGGTGGGTGACAACCACAAACCTTATGTGACATGCAGTGATTGAACAGAACAATGATTGAATGAATTTCTGAATATTTCAAGTTTACTTCTCAAATAATTATGATTCATTAAAATATTTAGGCACTGTGCACTATGTTCAGCTGCACCGAATGGCAGAATTTGTGGGCCTGCAAGATTTCACAGGTTACTGTTAGTAGTCTGTAAATAAATAGCCATGCTCTAATTTAGCTAAGGGAAGAGGGAGGGGGGAGAGCATAAATTAAATGACTCCACAGGGGCTTCATACATCCTAAGTACGGCCCTGTCTCTAGTGATAATAGATTTTGTTATCCATCTTTAAGAATATTAGAGCCTGTATATTATTAAAGGAGATTAGTAAAGAAAAAAAATAATAACACTTTTAAAAAGAATTCAGATAAAAAAGAAACTCAGTCATCTCAGATGAAAGAAAAGTCTTCTGGAAGAAACATGGTATAATAAATAATAATATGGTTAAGACATGGAGAGAGCACAGCCTCCACCTGTTCTTTTTTGTTTTGGTTCTTTTTTTTCTTCTGTGTTCTTTTCCTCTTCTTCTCCTGCTTGTTGTCCACTTCCTCCTCTGACTCTTAATCTTGTTCTTCTTCTTCTCCTCCTCCACTTCTTCTTTTTTTTCTGTGCCCCACCCCCCTCCCATATACCCATCAGATTCCTTCTCCTTCTTTGTATGCTTTTATCCCCAATTAGGCATGCGCCCTCAAACAACTGTTTCCGGGCCCTGCTGTCCTTTGCCATTAAATACAGCTACACCAAGTCTTTTTCATTTGTCTTTGCTGTCTTCACAGTCGGTGCAGGACATTCTGCGCCTATGGTACCACGAATGCTGCAGAGTGTTTCAAGATCGACTTGTCAATGATGAAGACCGGGACGAGTTTGAGACTATTCTCTCAGATATCATGAACAGTGACTTCAAATAAAGCTGGCCAATGTGTTTAGTCGCCCGACCGGTCATCTATGGGGATTACATGAACCAGGACATGGACCCCCGGCCATATCAACTTGTTGGGGATCTTACTGGTGTGAGTTTCCAGCATTTCCTTCTTTCTTTCTTTCTTTCTTTCTTTCTTTCTTTCTTTCTTTCTTTCTTTCTTTCTTTCTTTCTTTCTTTCTCTTCTTTCTTTCTTTCTTTCTTTCTTTCTTTTCTTTCTTCTTTCTTCATCTCTTCTTTCTTTTCTTTCTTTCTTTCTTTCTTCTTTCTTTCTTTCTTTCTTTCTTTCTTTCTTTCTTTCTTTCTTTCTTTCTTTCTTTCTTTCATTCTTCCTTCCTTCCTTCCTTCCTTCCTTCCTTCCTTCCTTCCTTCCTTCCTTCTTCCTTCCTTTCTTTCTTTCTTTCTTTCTTTCTTTCTTCTTTCTTTTCTTTCTTTCTTCTTTCTTTCTTTCTTTCCTTTCTTTCTTTCTTTCTTTCTTTCTTTCTTTCTTTTATTTCTTTCCTTTCTTTTCTTTCTTTCTTTCTTTCTTTCTTTCTTTTTCTTTCTTTCTTTCCTTTCCTTTCCTTTCTTTCTTTCTTCATTTCTTTCTTTTCTCTTTCTTTCTTTCTTTTCTCTTTCTTTCTTTCTTTCTTTCTTTCTTTCTTTCTTTCTTTTCTTTCTTTTTTTTTTTCTTTTTTTTTTCTTTCATGTCCGTCTCCGTGCACTGTGAATTCTGGATCCCCATAACCCATGGTTATAGTTATGGGGCTCTCATTTGGTGGAGGGAGGGGGGGGGGGAGTTTAAACCCATGGTCCCTTAATCAAACATGCCATAAAAGGTGACTAATTAAGACTTTACTAAAACCGGATAAGTTAGGTCAGAAGTTGCTGATATCACAGCCTAGCTGTAAATTACAACATATCAGCCACCCTTTTAAGGGTCGGTACAGAAGGAAATGAATTCTAAAGAGGCATGGTGGTAGTACAGTGACCAAATGCTTTTGTTTAAGGTTTAAAGCTGTGACAGATGTTTGTCTTTGAGTTAGCCTCCCAGGTTGACAGTCTGAAATGGGTACATGCAAATGTCCTGAAAAGTAAAAGTTGATTTCATGATACTGATAATATCACACGTCAAGTACTACTTGCTGGATAAAATTATGGGTCTCGCACCATATATCTAGTATGTCAGTGGCATGAAAAGATTCCTTTCTATTTGCTTTCTTATACTGTTTGAAGCAAACGTCTTTTTTTTTAAAAACCCTTATTGGGGTATTACTGTTTTAATTCTTCACATGTAAACATGCATAACTTACAATGTAAATTTTTGGGATTGAAGCGGTTAAATGAATCTTTTGGTGCTAAAAAAACCTTATGTTTCTTGATCATTTCCAGAATAATTATACTGTTCCTGTTGTCATCATCATCATCATCTTCTTTGCCTTCTATTCCCCCAGTGAAGTATAGACCCCCAATCAACTCCCTCCATGTCCACCACCAGCTCCAGCTTACGAGCCTTGTTGCTGACCTCACCCGGTCGGGCTAACCATGCGCAATGCAGTGGTTCTCAAAAAAAAAAAAAAAACTTCTTCGACAGTGGCGAGGGAAGACAACTTAAATTTTAACTTTTAAGTATCTACACACCTCCATTAATTTCACAATTTTAGCTGCCTTTTCTTGATTATTGCCGCGGCACCTCTGGCATACGCACACGGCACCCATTTTGAGAACGGCTGCGATAATGCTTCATTAGCCCAACCCGGTGACATCAGCAGCATGGACCCTTAACTGGAGCCGGCTTTGCCAGGTCATTCTTGTCTTTCGCTATTGCATGCAGCTCACCCCATGTCCTTCCTATCTTTTTAACTTTACTCTGTAGCCCCCTTGTCCATGTGTTTTATTGGTCTGCTTTTATTTCTGTGCAAATTACTGAAAGTAAAATTTGCCTAGAGAAACCAGAAGAACCATACACAAAATTATTTTAGGGTTGGTTCTGCAATGTCCTGTAAATGGCATGCAACTAATGTTTAACCTTTTTTCTATGCCCCTGTGGGTTCCAGTGAAAAGACATTCTAGTTATATCTTCTCTTTTTAACTTTTCAGTGGTTGGTTGGTTTTTGTGTCTATTGGTTTTTCAGGATGAGTTAACCGACCCCCAAGCCCAACCCTACCCTTAGTCGCCTCTTGCAACATGCCTAATAGAGCTCAGTGTTGCTACTATTGTTTGCTAACTGTGAGGACCCCGGTAACACACAGACAATATAACCTTTTATATCAGAATTATTATTTCAACTTCTTTTCTTCTCTAGCTTCTTTATTTAACTTCTCCACACTAGGTATTTTTGCTTTTAAAATTAGCTCCTTGGAATAGAATAAGTTAAAAGTATCAACTGTTTTGAATTGAAATGTTATTTCTGTGTGGGTTTCAGGGCCACTGGTGGGAAAAGGGTGGGGGGAGTAGATCCACTGTCTCCCTAACAAGCATGGCATAAATGGTGATTAATTAGAGATTTTACTTCCAAAGTTGTTGTGCATCTGCCAGAGAGGCGAGGAACCAACAGTCTGCATACAAGTAAGCCAGATCTGTAAAATGGTTGTGCATCCACAATTCAAGTTATGCAACAAGACCAAAGTCCAGGAGTGGACTGACAAGCAGAAAAAAAAAGAAGAAAGGGTTAACAGTCGACTGGTGCAAAGAAGAAATGAAATGCCTTATTTCTGTTGATGCCTTGTGGCTTTGATACTCGTGTCTGGCCACACTTTGTGTGTGCTGTGAGTTATTTTTGATACAGATTTTTTGCTATGCCAGGATGCCTCAGTGCTCAACATCCATCCCTCGGTCTCTTGCTGCATCTTTATTGCCCTTCAACTTTCTTTGATTTACGAAAAGATATCAAACTAGACAGAAAGTACACTCACTGAGCTTTGCATTATTACAATCACAAACATGTAGACGTTGCTATTAAAAAGCCTACATCAGCAGATGACACTATTAGGCACTGTTACATTTACGAATAAGAATACAGAAAATCACTCAACTAGGCCCATCAAAAAATAAACGAAAATCCTCATCTGTTTTTCTTTTATTACGAATGATACCAGTTTTTCTCTTCTGATAATATGCTCAAAGAAAGCAACTATCTTAGACAACTAACTGAGACAATAAAGACATTAAATAACTACTACTACTTCTTCGCGTTCACCGGCTGTAAACTCCGGAGGAAAAGTTCTGGCTGCTCATCCATTTCTGGACTCTAGTCCTGTTCCAGAAACTGAGTGTTGCGTCTTAACTAATTTGCACGCAGACTGTTGGTTTTTTGCCTCTCAGGCAGATGTACTCTGACTTCGAAGGAAGCTCCCAGTTAATCAGCTCCTACTATTTACCTTTGGGCAGGCAGTGGGTCTATTATTGTTCGCCCCGGAACCCACACAGGGATGTAAATAACTAATGAGTATTTTTTTTAAAAATAGATGATTGGCTGGCTGAATAGTTAGAGTGCTAGCCTGTTCGATCCTCAGTAAGAGATGGAATATTTCTGTCGAGGGGGAAAAAAAAGGAAAAAGAAAAAAATCCTAAATTGCACAGCTTGTGATGACTGCACTAGCCATGTGGCCTTAAATCCTCAAGCTCATGACCCCCCCCCCCCCCCCCCCCCCCTTTCCCACCTCCTAAAAGATGTTAATTACAGGTATTAATGACTTTTTTTTAAATAGCATAATGAGTAACAACTACAGTTAAAATACAAAGTATCTAGAAGAAGACGAGCTTGTATGAAGCCAGCTGAGCATTAATACCACATATTTGTTTCAGGCACAAAGATGCATGGAAGATTTCCTCGCTGAGTTCAACCAGCAGTCTACAAAGAAAATGGAGCTGGTTCTTTTTATGGATGCAGTGTCACATGTCAGCCGCATTGCCCGTATTCTGAGGCAGCCCCTGGGTAATGCACTTCTGTTGGGTATGGGAGGCAGTGGACGACAGAGCTTGACAAGGCTTGCCTCCCACATGTAAGAGGTTTACTGCTAGGCTATAGTAGTTTGGCATGGTCTTTGTGAAACAGTGTTTGCCTGAATCACCTACTCAACTATGCCCATTTATCTATCTGTCATTCTGGATGTCTGTCTAATTGGCTGGCTGTCTGTCGTTTTGCGTCACCTGCCAATATACATTGGTCTGTCAGTCTGTAACTGGTTTGGTGTCTTTTTGCCATCAGCCTACCTATAGTCATCCATCTTTGATTATTCTTACTGTCTTCCACCTTCCTACCTCTACCAAACTATCTGTCTGTCATTTTGGATGTCTGGCTAACTGGCTGACTGTCTTTCTCCTAGCTACCTACCTATACCCACACACCATCAGTCATTCTGCTTGTCTCTCACCTACCACCCTATAGACCTGTTTGTCTAAGTCACCTACATACCTTTATTCTCCAAACCCCATACATATCTGTTATTCTGTCTCTCTGTCTGACTGGCTGGCTGTTTTTATCCTACCTTCATACCTGCACCCACCCATCATCAGTCACCTGTCACCTAAATACCTATATTCTCCAAACCCCATACATATCTGTTATTCTGTCTGACTGGCTGTTTTTATCCTACCTTCATACCTGCACCCACCCATCGTCAGTCTGACTGTGTCACCTGCCTACATGTCTGTCTGCCTGTTTGTATCTTTGCATGCATGCATATGTGCACAGTCTAATAATTAAATATTAAGACTTTTTTTTAAATGGCTAAGATAAAAATGACATTTATAAAGGAAAGCATGCCATCCAAACAAGCAACACTAATCCCAATAGCACTTTGTCCTAATTAAAAAAATAATTTAATGTTCGCTATCTGCTGCATGCTTAACCATTGTCCACTTACCACCTAAAGTTCATTTGCTTGTCCACTGACTGGGAAACTTTAACAGATCATAGATGAATGTTGCTTGTTTAGATGACATGCTCTTCTTCAGGAATAACTTTTTGTGTGTCTCTTGGTCATGATAAAATGTCTCATTATTTAACTGTCAGATTGTTTATGTATGCATGTATCTCTAACACTTTCTGTCCATCACCTTGATTGTACACTTTCACAAATTGCTGTTAGTCTACTTCTTGGTAGTATCTTCCCACCTGTTTCGTTGTCTGTCTCTTTCTTGCATGTCTACACATTTTCTACTGTTATTGTTTCCTTAAGAATGTTATGTGTTGTGGCCCAAAAATTTCACTTATCTTTATTTCTAAAAACATTTAAAAACAAATTAACAGCACTCTTTTCATCCACAGTCTCCCCAAAAAATGTTTTTTGCTGCTTTTGTTTTCTCTGAAATATTCTCAGAATACTGTGGACAAAGAAGAGAAAAAATACTGACATTTAAAAAATCAAATCATCAAGAAAGATTGACTAATAAACGGCATCTTGCCTCGGAAGCTGAAATATTTTGGTCACATCAAGCGGCATGGTGGATTGGAAAAAAATTATAGTAGGAGGCATGGCACCAGGAAGGAGGAGCAGGGACCAACCAATACGAAGATGGGCACAAGATATAAGTGACTCCTTGAATATGAAAGTACGTGAGGTGGGAGAGCTGGCGAGAGACGAGTTTCTTTCAGGCAGACCGTGATGAGAGCAATGTTCTGCAAAGGACCTGCTACTTGAAGATGATGATGTTTTCTCTGTTTCCTGTTTCTAATTCCTCAAACTTCCCAGTTGTTATCAGGGTTATTTCATCTCTCCTTTCTCATACTTTGATCATAATGAACAGTTGTTTTGTCCTTTTGTCTAAGTTGTCTTCAGTGTGTAACTTTCCAGTGTATAACTTCTCCAGTTCTGAGTATGACTGCTTCCAAATTGAGTTGTCCAAAAACTACAGTACCCATGACTGGCACGAAGATCTGAAGAAAGTCATGATGAAAGCTGGCCTTCGTGATGAACCTGTGGTTTTCCTCTTTAGTGACACACAGGTGATTGGGTTTCATTACTATCTTAAAGTTTGTGTGTGAATGAGGAACTTGTGGTAGTATAATGCACACTTATAGAGTGACAGATAGTTTTGAATGTGAATAAAGAGCGACAGAAACAGGTTTGTGTGTGAATGTAGAGTAATAGACTCAGGGATGGATGAGAATATAGAGGAGAAGACACACAGCTGGGTGCGAATATAGGGGAATGGACACAGGGCAGGATGTGAATATAGAGCAATAGACACACAGCTGGGTGTGAATTTAGAGGAACAGACACACAGCTGGGTGTGAAGTTAGAGGAACAGACACACAGCTGGGTGTGAAGTTAGAGGAACAGACACACAGCTGGGTGTGAATATAGAGGAATAGACACACAACTTGGTGTGAATATAGATAAATAGACACAGGGCTGGATGTGAAAATAGAGGGACAAACACAAGGCTAGGTGTGAATTAGAGTAATAGACACAGGGCTGGATGAGAATATAGAGGAATAGACACAGCAGTGTGTAAATATAGAGGCAAAAACACAGAGCCGGGTGTGAATATAGAGGAACAGACAGACAGATGTGCGTGAAAAATAGAGGAATAGACACAGGGCTGGATGGGAACATAGAGGAATAGACACAGGGCTGGATGTGAATATAGAGGAATAGACACAGGGCTGCATGTGGATATAGAGGAATAGACACAGGGCTGGATGTGAATATAGAGGGAACAACACAGGGCTAGGTTGAATATAGAGTAATAGACACAGGGCTAAATGTTAATATAGAGGAATAGACACAGGGCTATATGTGAATATAGAGGGAAAAACACAGTGCCTGGTGTGAATATAGAGGGAGAGACTCCAGACTTGGTGTATTCAATCTTTTTTAATGATTTGCCTGATTATATAAAAAGAGAGTGTTGGAATGTGTGCTTTCTTGGATAGGATCACTATAATGTTTGAGTACATTTTAAAGTAAAAGTAAAGAACTCTTTTTGATGCCATTGTGCATATTAGGTATATATGGCTTGACCTGTATTTTATAGACCAATCAGCACTCGGTATGTGATGTTGTCAGCATCACGCCAACCACTTTTACTTCTCAGGACTTTACCTAGTAACCATTTTAGGCTGGGTTGACCTGGGAGCTGAGCCATTTTTGAAAAACATCCGGCTTGATGCGGATTTGAACCTGCAACCTTCGGGCCCGAGGCTAGTCTCTAGCCACAGTGGCTGCCACCCTTTTAAGTAGATCTTGAAAATCGACCCAGACTCCTAATGGATGGAACTCAGTTTAAAGTGAGTATCTGGAAATGTTCTGGGAAGTAAAGGGGGCTGGTGTGATATGGCAACATCAACTGTTGAATCTTCTTTGGTCTGAAGAAATTTAGGGCTAGTAACATATGCTGAAATAGGGATCTCCATTGCTAAATAGTTCAGCTGTTTAGGTCTTCTGCAGTGTGTGATGTGTAATAGACCTTTTTTGTTTTTTTAAACGAATCCCAGCTATTGCACTAAGTGTTCACTCCCATTTTACTATTGGTCACACCACACTAAAGAAATCTGGCTTCCATATTGGCTTCTTCCATTGCATTGTTTATCTGTTTGAATGTTATGCATTCAGGACTTTTCATACTGGTAATTCATTCCCTTGGGCATTTGCTGTGAAAATCCCCTCGGAAAGAATAAAAAAAAAATCATACATTTCCCAGTTATAACCCAGGTTGGTTCAACAGGATATTGTTGTTTAAATGACTTGTGTTGTGGTTGATGGGCAGTTTTGTAAATAAATATATGTCTTTATTGAAGGAAAATAACCGCATCTCAGATATATGGTTGTTGGTCATTTATAAATTTGCTACTGATTTTTGCAGGTAAAATGTTTCTTCTGTAGGAGGAGGTAGGCAGTCTCATGTCAACCTTCCTTAATAAAAACTTTAGCTGCAGAAGCTGAACATGAACAAATCATTTGATTCACAGTTCTGGTGTTCTCAGTTGTAGAAGGATCAGTATTTAATAGAGCTATAGTTATATTAATTCAGGACAAGATCACAAATACTGTGGTGTTGGAAAGAGCTGGTATTGCAATCTATGAAGGCTAAGGTGGCTGGCTCACACCTGGATAATGGAGGTTGGCGAGTCCCTAAAGACATCCTCTATAGGAAATTGAAGTAGAAGATGTCAAGGCTGACCTCTACGGTTAGTTGTGTATCCTTTACAGGACGTTGCAGAACCAACCCCAGCAGCCCCAGGCTGTTGTGTGGTTTCTCTAGGCAAATTTACCTCCATTAGTTTGCCATTGCTTTCTGGACGGTCGGCCCCCTGATACCACTGTCAAAACCAACGCAAGGCGCATGGCCGGCTGCTGGGATTGAACCCAGTACCCCGGCATTACGAAGCGTTTGCATCGACTTAGCCACAGAGCTGACAGGCTGACCTCTACTACGATATAAAGATGTGTGCAAAAGGGTCACTAATGATACAGGTTTTGAGGTGGACTTGTGGGAACAAAATGCTATGGACCTTGTTGTGTGGAGGGGCACATCAGGAAAGGAATGAGAATAAAGGAAGAAATGATTGCAGAAAGGATAAGAGCTGAGAGTGTGAGAAGAAACAGACTAAACACAAATGTTAACAACAATGGTGCTGAAATCCTATGCTACAATTGTGGAAGACTTCTTAACGTGGGCGAGTCTTTCTAGTTACACTCGCCACCGCCTTAGACTGCGAGTCCCAAGCCGCCTCATAGCACAATATAATACTGTTGTCTGGAAAGACAAAAGGATGCAAATTATAATTTTTTTAATTGTTTTTATTTATTTAACTTAACTTTCTCTCTCTCCCTCTTTCTCTTTTTTTTTTCTTCCCCCCCCCCACCCCCCCCCCCAATATTATCTTATTTATTCTGTTTCAGAATACAACCCTTTATGTCCATTTTTCTGTCCTCCACCCCACCTCATTATGAATTTCTTGGTTTCATGTTGACCTTGATTTTATAGAAACTTTTTTTTTCTGTTGAATTGTCCAGTCACAGTACTCCGCTGATAAAGACTTCAGTTAAAATGTTCGGTTTTATTTGTCCCCCATCTTTTCCATTTCCTCTGTTGAGTTTTCTAGTCACATTGTGTATTGTTTTTAGTACTTAATGACTGGACGGCTTCATGTGAGTTGGTTCAGATTTGATGCTTCACTGGGTACTGAAAAACAACAGAGGAAGATAGCATTTGTATAATTTGTGGAAGAAAATTTTCATTCATTAACTCTTTCAGTTGTTATTTCAGCACTGTTTATCCCAAAGTGTTTAGAGGGCAAGCAACCCCAGGAAGGGATGCAGTTTTTAGTTATTTTAAAGCCTCACTCCGGCTGTTGTCGGGGGTCTTGATTAAACCTAACAGTTGAACGGGGTATTTGGGACTTGTGCCCGGGTGATTCTCGTCTGAATGGTGGCTTTTTTTTGTCACAAGGTTTTGGTCACTCGTTGTACTGTCCTGGTGAGGTTGAACGACACGGATATTCTCATTCACGCTCTTTCCCTATCTTCAGCAGTCCCAGTTTTGATTCTACTAGCAGAAGTCGAATTGTATGCCTGTCCAACCGTCACTCTGAAGGTTGTGTGCCGGCCAGATCCCCTGGAGACACCCCCCCCCCCCTCCTCCTCCTCCTTTTGCACCATTCTCTTCAGGCCATGGAGAATACCGATGAGGAGTATTGTCTGGATTTTTTCACCAGGAGACACTGGTATGTTGGGAAATGAACAGGCAGACAGACTAGCTGGCTCTGCACAACTTTGTGGAATACTGATGCATGATAAGGCAGACGTGGTTAGTGTCTTGTGAGAGAGCATGTACAGTTCGAAGGAGCAGATGGATCACCACAGTCTGGTAAGATTGAGCAGCGGGGAGTGACGAGAGGTTCTGGCACATGCTCGAGGCTCAGAGGAAAGGCAAGACAGACGTTTAATCAGAATGCTACTGGCACCATTAGTATCGGAACTCTTTACTGGCTGCTGAGGATGGGGATGGAATGCTTATGGGAATGCCTAGAGTGCTGTGATGTCGGGTCTTGAATCAACTGATCTCATCTCTTCAGGCCATCTCGATCACGTTTGCCTCAAAGGCAAGCATAGATGTGCTACACCATGCTTTACACTTATGTCACGCAATAGTGTTATTGTCAGAGATTTGTCACTATCCACTAGCCCATACTGTATAGCATGGACGATATCTGCTCTGTCCATACTTCTTCTCACATGCCTTGGTGTAATACTTGCCAGTTGGTCTACTCGCTCATCACCCTTAATGCCCTCGTGACCAGGTGTGTAGATCCAGATGAGGGAATGTTTTCTACCCATTCAGAGTGCATACCACTTCTGAAGCATGTTTATGAAGTCTGATACAATTACTGCCTGTGTGGCTGTTTGATCTGATGCCCATGCTAGTGCTCTAGAAGCAGCAGCTATCTCTATGGTCATGCTTGATGTGGTTGCCTGGTAAGCGCTGCTGTCATCTTGTATTGTTTAAATACCATGCAGTACACCGTGTGGCACTGGATATTACTTGTGCACCAGTCAACACATTATAAATGTTTTTACATTAAGTCAGGCCATACGAAAGCACCTCAAACACAAATCTACCTGTTATGTGAGTTGTTTTCCGACCCTGTGGATGTAGTACACCTATAGCTTTATTTCTGTCATTATTTCTTCACTCAAGCAACGGCAATGACCTTATGAGACTGTCGCCAACCCCAAATCGATATGCACTTATCTAGTGAGTGTGTGGATTTCAATCCTGACATTATACACCTGTGTGCAAAACTGGACTAATATCTCAGCTATGTTGATCCCAGACAAAGTCTTTGATAACCAGATATAATTCTTAGTTTTGTTATTGAACAAAGCGGTTAGTTCCAAGATAATCTCCCAAAACAAACTAGGTCACGTTCCATTCAAAAATTATTTAGACTGGTCTGTTGTTCAGGGGATTACAGTTAGCCGCTATGTTGTTTCTTTTCTGTCTTGTCTTACATTTACATTTTTCTTCCGAGAAAGAGAATGCCTGTGACATAGGTCTCAGCACTCTCTAGGGGAGTTGTGTGGTAGGCCCAGTTTCTAAATGTTTATGTAGTGTTAAAAATGCTGGCGTACTTAAATATACAACATGCAATATCAACGGCATTGCGAAGGTCGGTGACTGAAGGTCGACTAATCAGAAGTGAGCTAGTGTGTATATGGGCAGTCTGTTGGGAGACTATCATGGAACTAACCAACAAAGCAATTACTAAACATGCTAAATTCTGAAATCCCTGAAGTGGTTTAATCACAGGGACCGAAAGAGAGATTAACAGCTGGGATATGATGAGTTAACACAAGAATTGGACAAGAAGAGTAAAGACATGTTGCTTGTAAAGAGTGACCAATGAACCCGTTGCAAATTTTGTGATACTTATAGAGTTCATTGTTAATTTACAATAGCAATTTCACCTTTACTGAACTGACCTTACTTTTGAAACACTGGGCTATCCCAAAGAGAACCCCCCCCCCCCCCCCAAATAAATTACATTTATAATTGCGATTTCACCTTTACTTATCAACTGACCCTAATTTTGTAATGCTCGGCTATTCCAGAAGAGAACCTAAAAACAAAACAAGACAAACTATAAATGCAGTCTTCATTCCAATCTTGAACTATCAGTGTCAGACTTGGACATTGGAAAAAGAATACTAAAGTTAAAAATGGACTACCTGAGAAATGTGATGTTTAAGAAGGCAGTGAATGAAACTAGGAGATTGTGTAAGAAGCACATTTGGCGCTTTCAACAGGTGGCTAGCTGTTCTGCAGAGAGAGACCAAGCCATATGGGATAAAACCCGGTGCAATTAGGCCGATGCTGACCACATTACCCACAGAGTGCTGATGGTCTGTAAAAATATGGGACGCTCTGCCCGTATGCCCGATGCGCCGAAAGGCGTGAAAAGGGATCTTTACTTTTTTTTTTTTAATTAGGCCGATAAACTCGACTTAAACCTTAAATCTTTTATATACTTTAAATCCTAGATTAAGAGTGAATCCTTCCTTGAGGACATCAACAATATTTTGAACACTGGAGATGTGCCCAACCTCTATGGCTTTGACGAGTGTGAGAACATCTACAAGGAAATGAAGCCCATCGTGCTAGAGGCTGGGCTGCAGCCCACCAAGACCATCATGTTCACGGCTTACACCAAGAGAGTTCGCAGCAATCTCCACACTGTCATCACTATGAGGTGGCTCTCTATTCTGTCCCCTTAAACTGTCGTGTCTTCTTCTATTGTCATGTCTTGCACTGTTGTTGTCATGTCTTGCACTGTTGTCATATCTTGTATTGTTGTCATGCCTCGTACTGTGGTTACATCATGTACTGTGGTCATGTCTTGAACTGTGGTCACGTCTTGTACTGTGGTCACGTCTTGTACTGTGTTCACGTCCTGCACTGTGGTCAAGTCCTACACTGTGGTCATGCCCTACACTGTGGTCACACCTTGTACTATGGTCACGCCTTGTACTGTGGTCACGCCTTGTACTGTGGTCACGTCCTGCACTGTGGTCACGTCCTGCACTGTGGTCACGTCCTGCACTGTGGTCACGTCTTGTACTATGGCCACGCCTTGTACTGGGATCACGCCTTGTACTGGGGTCAGGTCTTATACTGCGGTCACGTCTTGTACTGCGGTCACGTCCTGTACTGTTGCCATGTCGTTGTACTGTGATCATGTCTTGTACTGTGGTCATGTCTTGTACTGTGGTCATGTCTTGTACTGTGGTCAAGTCTTGTACTGTGGTCATGTCTTGTACTGTGGTCATGTCTTGAACTGTGGTCACGTCTTGTACTGTGGTCATGTCTTGTACTGTGGTCATGTCTTGTACTGTGGTCAATCTTGTACTGTGGTCATGTCTTGTACTGTGGTCATGTCTTGTACTGTGGTCATGTCTTGTAATGTGGTCAATCTTGTACTGTGGTCATGTCTTGTACTGTGGTAATGACTCGAACTGTGGTCACGTCTTGTACTGTGGTCACGCCTTGTACTGTGGTCACGTCTTGTACTGTGGTCACGTCTTGTACTGTGGTCACGTCTTGTACTGTGGTCATGTCTTGTACTGCGGTCACGTCTTGTACTGCGGTCACGTCTTGTACTGCGGTCACGTCTTGTACTGTGGTTACGTCTTGTACTGTGGTCACGTCTTGTAGTATTGTCATGTCTTGTAGTATTGTCATGTCTTGTACTGTGGTGATTCTTTGTACTACTGTCATGTCTTGTACTAATGTCATGTCTTGTACTGTTGTCATGTCTTGTACTGTTGTCATGTCTTGTACTGTTGTCATGTCTTGTACTGTTGTCATGTCTTGTACTGTTGTCATGTCTTGTACTGTTGTCATGTCTTGTACTGTTGTCATGTCTTGTACTGTTGTCATGTTTTGTAGTATTGTCATGTCTTGTAGTATTGTCATGTCTTGTAGTATTGTCATGTCTTGTAGTATTGTCATGTCTTGTAGTATTGTCATGTCTTGTAGTATTGTCATGTCTTGTAGTATTGTCATGTCTTGTAGTATTGTCATGTCTTGTAGTATTGTCATGTTTTGTAGTATTGTCATGTCTTGTAGTATTGTCATGTCTTGTAGTATTGTCATGTTTTGTAGTATTGACATGTTTTGTACTGTCATCATGTCTTGTACTATTGTCATGTCTTGTACTATTGTCATGTCTTGTACTATTGTCATGTCCTGTACTGTTGTCATCTTTTGTACTGTGATCTCGAACTGTCATATCTTTTACTGACTTGTACTTATGGCTTTTTTTTTTTCTGGTGCTAGGCAGCAGTACACAGTGCTGGCAGCTCTTTAGGGCATCATTTATTTTTCAGCGCTACTGTAATAGACACTTTGTCGCGAGTACTGGCACTTTTTTTGAAAAACATATTATTGTGAGCTTTTTCTAGAAACAAAACAAGCCCATGTCTTATACTGTCATATGTTGTACTGTCATATCTTTACTGTCATCTAGAACTGTCATGTCTTGTACTGTCATATGTTTTAATGTTATATTTTGTAATGTCATATTTTGTAGTGTCATGTCCTTACTGCTGTATGTTGTAATGTCATCTCTTTTACTGTCATCTAGAACTGTCATATCTTGTACTGCCACATGTTTTAATATCATGTCTTGTACTGAGATGTCTGAGCAAGGCTGTAGAAGTGACCAGAAGAGATCAAATCAGGTAGGAAGTCATAAGAGATCAAGTCGACACAGAACCAATTCTAACTTAATACAAAGTCGGCAGAAATTTTTTTTAACCAACTTTGAGATACTGCCTTGCGACACCATACCCTACGAGGTACACACCAAAAGAAGAGAGGGGGGTAGAGCTAGAGATACGCCAAGAGCAAGATGGAAAGATAATGTCACAGTAACTCTGCAACAGCATGATGTGACTATGGTTGAGGCAAACCAGGAGAGCAAGAAGTAGAACCTTATATCTTCCTTGACATTTGAAGCGGTAAAAGAGGCAATGAAGAAGAACAAACTGACGGTGCTCTATTAATATCTTACTCGAAACAGGCGAAATCCGGGAAAATCCACAGGTCACAGGACAGTCTAATATTTCAGGGGGTGGTATATAAGCTGCATGCAGTCGTGGGACCTAGGCTGCACTCTCTTGTGGGACGTAGGTGGGTTGGGGTTAAGGCCAGTTCTTGATGTTTTAAAGTAATTAATAGCATCAGAAAGCTGGGAAACTCAGTCTTACCACCCTCTAAAATGTTATACTGTCCTGTGATATTATCTGGGGTACGATATTGATAAAGAACCCCAACTGACAATTATGTAGTGTAGGTGAGGAGGTTTTGTTAGCAGTTTACTGCTTCTGGGGAGTCAAATGTTGGATCTTCACATATTCTGGGCCGCAGCATGCAAGGTAGGGTGGCTAGTTCCCTGCCTTGTCACCTTCCCTTCCCACAGTCACCTGAAAATTATCATCAGTTTTTTAAAAGGCTGGGCCAACCTCAGATCAGCATTTGTCGTCATCATCATTATCATGTGCCGTGCCAGTAAGCATAGGCCATCCTGCTTCGCAATCTCACATGATCACCAGAATCACAGATCAGCTCAGTGTTCTTGTCTCACCCCTCATCATTGTGGCCAAGCCAAATAGGTATATATCTCTTTGCCTTTCTCTCTCTCTCTCTCTTTCCATCAGTCTTGCCAGTTGTTATCAAGTTCTTGAGTCCATTCTTTCTCTGAACATGTCCAGAAAATATTGATAGTCTATGTCTAATTCTATTTTCTGACTGTCATCTGTCTCAGTGAGGATTGCTTTGTTTGTTTTTCTATCCATCCATTGTAATCAGGAAGCCACTGTGGTCAAGCGGCTAGATTCTGGGCTGTGGATCTGAAGGTCGTGGGTTCGGTTCCTGGTGAGGGCCTGATTTTTTTCAAAAATTACCTTGGCTCCCAAGTTGACCCAGCCTTAAATGGGTACCAGGTACAGTCCTGGGAAGTAAAAGTGGCCGGCGCTATGCTGACCACATCCCCCACGAAGTGCCGCTAATCTATAAAATATAGATTTGGCCCTATATACCCAATACGCCTGGAAAGACCTGGAAAAGGGTTCTTTACTTTACTTTAGCCATAAAAATCACTGCATTCTTCTCAAAAACGACAACTCTGCGACGAGTAAATGTTTTTTATTTTAGTGTGTCTCCTTGTTGTCCACGTCTCACATGCATATAACAATACACGTTCTGTGAAGCATGTTAACACCTATTTTCTAACTGCAGTTGACATCTTCTTATTGCCGAGTTGTAGTTGTAAACAATAATCCTGTCTGTGCTTGAGGACTTAGCCCAGATCGCTGTATTGACAGGGATGCATGTTGACCAGTAATCCACCACAACCTTATTAAAAGATAAAAAGTGTACAGCTATTTATTGGCGTTTTTGCTCTAGAAAAAAGTGCTGGTACTCACCCCAAAATATCTTTGAAAAAAAAAAATGGTGCCAGTTTTCATACACACAGTGTCTGTTTCATTAATACAGGGAAAACAAAATTTTGCCCCGAAAAAGAGGCCACTACTGTGCACTGCGTGTTGTATACAGCCAGAAAAAAATAGCCCTGGCTGTTAAGTAAAATCACAATACATCTTCATGATTTCAATTAGTAAAAACACAATACATCTACATGATTTCAATTAGTAAAAACACAATACATCTACATGATTTCAATTAGTAAAAACACAATACATCTACATGATTTCAATAAGTAAAAACACAATACATCTACAGGATTTCAATTAGTAAAAAACACAATACATCTACATGATTTCAATAAGTAAAAAACACAATACATCTACATGATTTCAATTAGTAAAAACACAATACATCTACATGATTTCAATTAGTAAAAACACAATACATCTACATGATTTCAATAAGTAAAAACACAATACATCTACATGATTTCAATTAGTAAAAACACAATACATCTACATGATTTCAATTAGTAAAAACACAATACATCTACATGATTTCAATTAGTAAAAACACAATACATCTACATGATTTCAATTAGTAAAAACACAATACATCTACATGATTTCAATAAGTAAAAACACAATACATCTACATGATTTTCATAGTAAAAACACAATACATCTACATGATTTCAATTAGTAAAAACACAATACATCTACATGATTTCAATTAGTAAAAACACAATACATCTACATGATTTCAATGAGTAAAAACACAATACATCTACATGATTTCAATTAGTAAAAACACAATACATCTACATGATTTCAATTAGTAAAAACCACAATGCATCTACATGATTTCAATAAGTAAAAACACAATACATCTACATGATTTTAATTAGTAAAAACCACAATACATCTACATGATTTCAATTAGTAAAAACACAATACATCTACATGATTTCAATTAGTAAAAACACAATACATCTACATGATTTCAAGTCTAGTAAAAAACACAATACATCTACATGATTTCAATTAGTAAAAACCACAATACATCTACATGATTTCAATTAGTAAAAACACAATACATCTACATGATTTCAATTAGTAAAAACACAATACATCTACATGATTTCAATTAGTACGAAAAACACAATACATCTACATGATGATTTCAATTAGTAAAAACACAGTACATCTACATGATTTCATTAGTAAAAACACAGTACATCTACATGATTTCAATAAGTAAAAAAACATCTACATGGCTCTTTTTCAATTAGTAAAAAACACAGTATACATCTAACATGATTTCAATTAGTAAAAACACAATACATCTACATGATTTCAATTAGTAAAAAACACAATACATCTACAATGATTTCATGGTTTAGTAAAAACACAATACATCTACAATGATTGCCAATTTCATTAGTTCAAAAACAAACACATACATCTACATGATTTCAATTAGTAAAAACACAATACATCTACATGATTTCATAGTAAAAACACAATACATCTACATGTGATTTCAATTAGTAAAAAAAACACAATACATCTACATGATTTCAATTAGTAAAAACCACAATACATCTACATTTCCTTAGTAAAAAACACAATTTCTAATGATTTAATTTTCCAGTAAAACCTACAATACATCTACATGATTTCAATTAGTAAAAACACATACATCTACATGATTTCAATTAGTAAAAACACAATACATCTACATGATTTCAATTAGTAAAAACAGCAATACATCTACATGATTTCAATTAGTAAAAAACACAATACATCTACATGATTTTCAATTAGGTAAAAACACAATACATCTACATGATTTCAATTAGTAAAAACACAATACATCTACATGATTTCAATTAGTAAAAAAACCACAATACATCTACATCAAGTTTCAATTTCAATAAGTAAAACACAATCAACATCTACATGATTTTCAATTAGTAAAAACCACAATACATCTACATGATTTCAATTAGTAAAACCACAATACATCTACTGATTTCAATTAGTAAAAAACACAATACATCTACATGATTTCAATTAGTAAAAACACAATACATCTACATGATTTCAATGAGTAAAAAACACAATACATCTACATGATTTCAAATTAGTAAAAACACAATACATCTACATGATTCAATTAGTAAAAACCACAATACATCTACATGATTTCAATAAGTAAAAAACACAATACATCTACATGATTTCAATTAGTAAAAACCACAATACATCTACATGATTTCAATTAGTAAAAAACACAATACATCTACATGATTTCAATTAGTAAAAACACAATACATCTACATGATTTTCAATTAGTAAAAACACAATACATCTACATGATTTCAATTAGTAAAAACCACAATACATCTACATGATTTCAATTAGTAAAAACACAATACATCTACATGATTTCAATTAGTAAAAACACAATACATCTACATGATTTCAATTAGTAAAAACACAACACATCTACATGATTTCAATTAGTAAAAACACAGTACATCTACATGATTTCAATTAGTAAAAACACAGTACATCTACATGATTTCAATAAGTAAAAAAACATCTACATGATTTCAATTAGTAAAAACACAGTACATCTACATGATTTCAATTAGTAAAAACACAATACATCTACATGATTTCAATTAGTAAAAACACAATACATCTACATGATTTCAATTAGTAAAAACACAATACATCTACATGATTTCAATTAGTAAAAACACAATACATCTACATGATTTCAATTAGTAAAAACACAATATGTCTACATGATTTCAGTGAGTAAAAACACAATACATCTACATGATTTCAATGAGTAAAAATACAATACATCTACATGATTTCAATTAGTAAAAACCACAATACATCTACATGATTTCAATTAGTAAAAACCACAATACATCTACATGATTTCAATGAGTAAAAACACAATACATCTACATGATTTCAATTAGTAAAAACACAATACATCTACATGATTTCAATGAGTAAAAACACAATACATCTACATGATTTCAATTAGTAAAAACACAATACATCTACATGATTTCAATTAGTAAAAACACAATACATCTACATGATTTCAATGAGTAAAAACACAATACATCTACATGATTTCAATGAGTAAAAACACAATACATCTACATGATTTCAATTAGTAAAAACACAATACATCTACATGATTTCAATTAGTAAAAACCACAATACATCTACATGATTTCAATTAGTAAAAACCACAATACATCTACATGATTTCAATTAGTAAAAACACAATACATCTACATGATTTCAATTAGTAAAAACACAATACATCTACATGATTTCAATTAGTAAAAACACAATACATCTAATGATTTCAATTAGTAAAACCACAATACATCTACATGATTTCAATTAGTAAAAACACAATACATCTACATGATTTCAATTAGTAAAAACACAATACATCTACATGATTTCAATTAGTAAAAACACAATACATCTACATGATTTCAATTAGTAAAAACCACAATACATCTACATGATTTCAATTAGTAAAAACACAATACATCTACATGATTTCAATTAGTAAAAACACAATACATCTACATGATTTCAATTAGTAAAAACACATACATCTACATGATTTCAATTAGTAAAAACACAATACATCTACATGATTTCAATTAGTAAAAACCACAATACATCTACATGATTTCAGTCCCCTTGGAGAAATCTTCCGTGCCCGACTGCGACAGTTTCCTGCATTAGTGAACTGTTGCACCATCGACTGGTTCAGTCCCTGGCCAGCAGACGCCTTACGGTCGGTAGCCCTGCGATTTCTGCAAGATATCGACAGCCTCCAGTGTACTGATGATGTCATGAATGGCTTGGTGAGTTACACACTTACTGGCATTTACTTCTCAGGTTCAGCAAATTAGTCATATTTTATTAACAACCCCCCCCCCCCCACACACACACACACAAATCTTGTCTGTCTAGATCTGATGTCTATAATCAGTTTATGGTTTTCTTCTGTCTTGAAAAGAACGACTCATTTATATTTTTTCTGTTAGCCTGTGGCATTCTTTGTATTTTTCTCAGTTTACATCCCCGCCTTCTCTAGATTACGCCATCTAACTAAATCACGTGACTTTTTGGATGGAGTCCCTCGAAAACTGGTTAGTGTAAGCCCTTTCCATGTGTTGCATTGTGTGACATTTTAATGTGCTTACAAAGTTCTGAGTTCTAAATGAATTTGTATTACAAATCTACAAGTGGATATTGTGAAATATATATACAAGATTTTCAAACTTTGCTGTTAGATTACAGCAATTTGAATTTAAATTCACGGGAGACAGTCGTGTTGTGATGTGTGTGTCACTGTTTCTAGTCAGTAGTTTGGATTTTTGGGAGCTGGCTGTTTATTCTTTTTCTACTTTGAATGTGGAAAACTTACTTTTGGGGAAAATGCAAACAGGTAATTTAGAAGCCAGATCTGGAGAATATCGACAGTTGTCACGTACAAACTATTTTGTGTTGGAAGAAAACTATTGCTTTCATATTGATTTTGCAAAAATGGTGCAACTACACTGTGGATAAATTGTGTCAAGATATTTCGGAGCTCTGGGTAAGTGGATAAAAACAATATTTACTAACTAACCTCTCACAGCAAGTCACTCTTTGCCTCTTTACTAATTGTTGACTAACAGTATAATTATATGTTGTAGAAGTACACTAATAATATTAATCCTTAACCATTTGACTTATACTTCCCGAACTCTGGCTGTAAACTCTTGCGGAAACTTCTGGCTGCTCATCCACTTCTTATGCATATTTGCAGTTGTACGGTCTGTGTTAATTTTTGTAAATTGGCTTTTGCTTCGCGAACACTGGCTGTAAACTCTTGCGGAAATTTCTGGTTGTTCATCCACTTCTTATGCATATTTGCAGTTGTACGGTCTGTGTTAATTTTTGGAAAATGGCTTTTGCTTCGCGAACACTGGCTGTAAACTCTTGCAGAAACTTCTGGTTGTTCATCCACTTCTTATGCATATTTGGTGTTGTATGGTCTGTGTTAATTTGTGTAAACTGGCTTTTGCTTCGCTAACACTGGCTGTAAACTCTGGCAGAAACTTCTGGTTGTTCATCTTATTCTGGGCTTTAGTCTTGTTCCAGAAAGTTTTGAACAACGAGATCTGGTATCTATATGGGGATTTTTGTATTCGAAATGTGTATGTTGCTCAGCAATTTGCAGTTATATTGTCTTTTTTAATTTGTTTTAATTACCTTTAAAATAATATACCATTTATGATACTTATACACGTTGTTGCATGCAGTAATTAGAAATATGTGTGATGTATTTTTAAACAGTTACCAAAAAATTCGCAATGATAAGGAATTAATTTCATCCAACAAGATGAAACTGGACAAATTTGTTTGTGCTGTTTGTACCTTGAGGATACATATTTAGTAGTGCTGTGCTATAAGTACTGTTAAGAAAACTACTCTGGGTGAAAAAAGTATTGCACATATCAATTTCATACTGATTGTGCTTGTTTACTAATTATTAAATAACAGTATAATTATATGTTGTAGTAGTCTACTAATAATAATAATAACCATCAATCATTTATATTTGTGTTATTTATGACATGTGTATGTTTCATAGCAGTATTTTTATGCGTTAAATTTGATAAAGTACAAATGTCACACCTCCCCCCCCCCCCACCCCCCCCCCCCCCCCCCCCCCCCCCCCCCCCCCCCCCCCCGGCTCCTTTGATGCAACAATACCCTCTCAGAATCAAAGAGTTAGCACTGATATTTCTTTACTTTTGCTGGAACAACTTTTAGTTTATATCTAAACGTTATTGATGTTTATGTTCATGTTGACTGTAGCAAAAGCATTTTTGTTTGTCTATAAGAGCCTTTATTGTTATATTTAATTGGCACACTTATTTACCTTAAAAATGACATATAGTTCTATAAATAATGTCGAAAATTAATGAAACTGTAGTTTAATTTGTGTATACATCTCTCGATAAAAACTGTAAATGCAGAGGGACTCAATTCTTGCACAAGAACGGGAATCCCCGTTGACCTGTTTGGCCTATAAATAGAGAAGACTGTGGTTTACATAATATGAACTAAGGAACAAAAAAACAAACAAACTTTATTTTCGAAGGTCACAGATTTGGCTCCCAGGCCCATCTTACGTTCGACCATTATAAACACCCACCTTTCACACAGCAGTTGTATTTTATCAATGAAGCATGTTATGTTCATATAATATAGCATGTATAATATTATAATATAATATAAAGATAATGAAATCTAAAAGGAAATATAATGTAATATAATATAATGAAAAATAATATGAATATAATATAATGTAATATAATATAAATAAAATGTAATATAATATAAAAATAATAAAATATAAAGTAATATAATATAAATATAATATGAATAATGCAATATAATGTAATATAATATAAAGATAATGTAATTTAAATGTAATATAATATTAAATATAATGTAACATAATATAAATGTAATTTAATGTAATATAGTATAAATTTTAAATATAATGTAATGTATTATAAATATAATATAAAATACATATAATGCAATATAATATACATAAAATGTCATATAATAAAAATATATTGTAATATAAATTTAATGTAATATAATGTAATGTAATATAATGTAATGTAATATTAATATAATGTAATGTAATATAAATATAATGTAATATAATGTAAATAAAATATAAATAAATTGAAATATGATATAAATGTAATGTATACAATATAAATGCAATATAATATAAACGTAATATAATATAATACAAATAACATAAATGTAATGTTATATAAATGTAATTTATACAGTATAATATAAATGTAATATAATATAAATGTAATGTCAAAAAAAATGGGAGTCAAAGTCATTTTAAAAAAAAAGTCCAGCTGCATTCGGATTTGAACCTACAGCTTTCAGATCTGCAGGCGAGCACCTGGCCACTATGCCATGGCAGCTCTTAGTATAATATAATATAGTGTGATGTAATTAAGTCGCACTAAATTATATTATATTATATATTATATTGTATTGTTGATTATTATATTATATTATGCCATGGTTGACTCCGATATGGTCTGCATCAATGATGGGAGGCCGGCTAGAATGGCAATGAGGCCTGGAGATGCAGAAACAGCCATTGACTTGACATTTGTCTCTCAGTCGTCGGTTTTAGATGTTAAATGGACTGTCCTGAATGACCATGGGAGTGATCACCTACCATGTTCAGTCTTGATTTCTAAACACAGTAAGGTTAAGGTTGGGAGAGCACGCAAGACCTTCCAGTATAAGTGGACCAACAACCTACTTGGACGCCTCAGACAGGGAGCATGCAAAGGAACTGCCAGAACTAATTTTCTACAGCCCCCATGGTGGACTCCAGAAGTAGAACAGGCATGGAAGGCAAAGAGAGCCGCAGTGAAGCAGCTAAAGAAAGTACGACAGACAGCCTCAAGCTCACGAGAGGAAGTGGAGATGGCAGAGAAAGTGAAAAGAGATAAGGTGGAGGTTTTCAAGCGCTGTGCTGCAGAGGCCAAAAGAGCAAAGTGGGAAACTTTTGTGAATGACATGGGAGGCGATAAAACATTGGGGAAATTCTGGAAACTGCAAAGGCAGATGCAAAGAAAAGATCGGCCTATGACAGTCGGAACAATTTGTAGAGACGATGGTGTGCGTGTGACAACAGACAAGGAGAAAGGGGAGGCTTTTCTCCATAGGTTTATAGCTCAGACAGATCATAATGATGTAGACTTCAGAGATGCAGTTAGAAAGGAGTTAGCTGGCACCTTGAAAAATATGCATTATGAAGACATGATACAAGTGGAAAATATCAAACAAATTTTGAAAAAATCAAAAAAACACTGCACCAGGGCCTGATGGTGTCAGGTATGGTCACATGAAGGCTTTGACAGATGTAGACCTGGCGGAGATGGCCGACTGTTTTAACCAGAGTATTAAGACAGCATCAGTACCGCAAGACTGGGTGCACAGCTATCTAATCCCACTACCAAAACCTTTTAAAGATCATTCTAAGCTTAGTGGCTTCAGAATCATCACCTTACAAAACACATTTGGGAAGGTCTTGGAGAAGATAGTTGCTGTAAAGTTACAAGAATTTTTAGAAAGGGGAAAGCTTCTCCCAAGAAGTCTGGGAAGTTACAGGCCAGGAAAGGACACTTTAGCAAATGCGGCCACTTTTGCTTTTGACGTCTATGAAGGGTTCCAGAACAGACAGGAAACTATGGCGGTAGGACTAGATCTCGAGGATGCTTATAACAGAGTGAGATACGACATCTTAATGACTGCACTGAGGGAGAAGGAGGTCAATCCATGGCTGGTGAATTGGGTTGCAGCTGTCCTGTATTCACGTCGGGTTGCTCTCCGACTGAGCTCATGGACCTCTGAACCATACACTTTGGCCCCAGGACTGCCACATGGATCAGCCATCTCGCCTGTGCTCTTCAACGTGTATACGAGCAAGATTGCAAGCCTAGAAGCACCAGGAGTTGGAAGGATACTGACTTTTGCGGATGATATACTTGCATATAGGCAGGGGGAAGAGAGGGAGCAAACAGCCCGGGAGCTACAAGTGACAGTAGACAAAGTGACTGAGTGGTGTACAGAAATGAAGGCTGTCGTCCACCCGGAAAAGGCGTCTGTTTTGTGGTGTTCTCTGGACAACAGAATCGTTAAAACTAATGTCCCAAGTCTCACGATAGATGGTAGAGACGTCAACAGAGAGAGCAAACTGAAGTATCTGGGAATTACATTTGACAGGAGCCTGTCATTTAAGGACCATGTGAAGAGTGTTGTGACAAGATGCCAAAAACGACTTAGTGCACTTAAGGCTATGCCTGCAATTGACATAGAGCAGAGAATGCTTTTCCACTATATCAGCACCTGATCCTGTCAGTGGTAGATTATGGCCTGGGACTGCTTACCGTCTCAAAGAGTCAGATGGACAAACTAGAGAGCATACAGAACGCGGCTATGCGGGTCATTCTGGGTTGCACCAGAGACACCCCAGTGGTGTGTATGCGATACATCCTTGGTTTGCCGACTGTTGCAGGTAGGCACAAGGTGATGCAGGCGAAGTTATATCTCAGGGTAGCTGCAGACACAGACCACCCTCTGCATGAAGCTCTGGGTGCAGTTAAGGGTCAGCGGCTGATAAGAGGGAGGTCATGGATGGCTCAGGCAGAAGACACAATCAGACAGGTTTGCATCCTTGAGAACATTAGGCGAGGAGAGGAGTGGGTCAAAGTGCCACCTGAGCAGTCAGACTTGTGTAGAGTCATAATCAAGCTGAGCCGGGAATGCAGAGACTGGCCAGCAGGTGCCACAGAGGTGGAAATTCAGCAATTAATTCAAGATAATGCTCGCTCAGAGGATTTGATCATTTACACAGACGGTTCAGTGTCAAGAGGCAAAAGAAGTGCTTGGGGCTTTTTAGCAAAAGTTAATGGTCGACGTTTGGTGCAGCAGAGCCTAGCATATGATACCACAACATCCAGCTTAAGAATGGAGATGGAGGCAGTCACTGCAGCTTTCTGCTGGCTAGAGAACACGACACACACACACATTGTAATTGTAACTGATTCAGAAAGCATGCTGAGGAAGATCAGAACAGGTATGCTTCGTGCAGAGTGGCATGCTTCGCTGCAGAGGACACGAGTGAGGAGTATTGTCTAGATTTTTTCACCGGGTCACGCCGGTGTGTTGGGAAATAAACAGGCGGACAGACTGGCTGGCTCTGTACAACTTGGTGGAATACTGCTACATGATAGGGCAGACGTGGTTAGTGCCTTGTGGGTGAGTGTGTACAGTGAGGAGGAGCAGATGGATCACCACAGTTTGGTGAGATTGATGCAGTTGGGGGTGACGAGAGGTTCTGGCAGAAGCTCAATGCTCAGAGGAAAGGCAAGACGGACATTTAATCTGAAAGCTACTGGCACCATTAGTATCGGAACTCTTTGCTGGCTGCTGAAGATGGAGACGGAGCGCTTATGGGAATGCCCCGGGTGCTGTGATGTCAGTTCTTGAATCAAATCAAATCAATTATATTATATTATATTATATTATATTATATTATATTATATTATATTATATTATATTATATTATATTATATTATATTATTATATTGATAATATAAGATAGTGTTATGTAATGTAGTATAGTATTGTGTAGTGTAATGTAATTTGGTAGTGTAGTATAGTATAGTATAGTATGGTATTAGTAGTATAGTATAGTATTAGTACCATATAATATAGTATTGTATAGTATTAGTACCATATAGTATAGTATAGTATGGTAAAGCATTAGTATTGTATGGTATAGTATAATATGGTATAGTATGACTATAGTATGGTATAGTATAGTGTGGTGTAGTATACTATGATATATAATTAGTATAGTATTATACACAACTAGAATAGAAAGATGTAATTATTCAATGCTTGGTAATGAAAAGATCATATGCCGTCATGCCAAGACTATACAGATTTTGCTGTCTTGTGCAGGTTGCCATGTGTCAGATAATCCAAGAGTCGGTGACGCAGAAATCTAAGCTGTACTTAGAGGAGATGGGTAGATACAACTATGTGACTCCAACATCCTACCTTGAGTTGTTGGGCATCTACTCAATGTTGGTGAACAGGAAAAAGAAAGAGCTGACGCTAGCAAGTTCTCGGCTCAAGACAGGTTTAGACAAGGTACTGTTCAGTTTCAGATATGATTTGACTCTTTCAGTCACCACAAGGTCCTGGCTAATGTCTGTGGGAGTTCAGAATGACAGTGTTAAACTCATGGGTGTACTGCTTCCAGAAGGGCCAGATATACAGCCACTGCAGGAAACATCAGAGTTCTTCAAAGTCCCTCACTAAAAATACGATGTAAAAAAACATACATAACATGTTTAGTTATGTGTGTGAATAATGCCATCACACAACGTGAGTTGTTTGGACAGAAAGTGTTGAAGATCTGTGGGATTTGTAGCAGATCAACTGTCATTAAGAAACGTGCTGGCCTGCTGGGTTTGGTGGGGTGGGCTCGCGCTGTGGTCTTAGGTTCAAATGAACATAAAATTGGATTGTTGAATTAACCTTCTGGGCTTCCTGATGTAAAATAGGTACCAGGAAATGTGCTAAGGAGTAAAGTTACCTGACATGATGCAGGAATCTCTAATGACTGCCTTATACATTTAATGCATGTGCAAGCTGTTTGGATTTTGCTGGGACTGCTGTACGCTTACATGAAACAGCACCACAGCAACAACTGAGTTAAAAAAAACTCTCCTACTACTGCTTGTATTGACGCTTGTTTATGGTGTAGGCAGGGAGGTTTTGAGACTGAGGGTTTAGGGCCACATGGCTAGTGCTATCGCTACAGACTGTACAAGTTAGGATTTTTTTTTCCATAGGGAAAAAACCATAACCTTACTGGGGATTGGTCTAAAACATTTTGGGCTGGGGGCTGTGTGGTCTCGAGGCATGGTGTCCGCCTCAAGTGCTAGAGGTTCTAGGTTCAATCCCCGGTAGGGGCTGGAATTTTTTCTCGTGGACTTGGACTTCTAGTAATTTCCCCTGGTCTCTGGATAGTGAGATTGGACGCCTGTGTGCATTGTTGTGCACGTACAAAAATTGAAAAGAGTAGCCAAATGGCGCTGCCCATGTAACATTTGGAGTTTAAAAAACTACCCAAAGTATTTCAGGATCCTCACCCATGCTACAGAGCCTGTGCACTGTGCTGAGCTTCTTTGGACTCAGACTTGAGTTAGAAGAAGAACGAAGCACTTATGGGTACCAGGAAATGACAGGAAATGGCCCGTGTGCCATGATGTTGATCCGTTGTTCAAACCTCAAACATTTGGGGCTATCACCATGTGCCCAATATGATGGATCTTCTCTCCTACAGATATCAGACAAATGATTTTTTTTTTCTAACTGTATCCGATTAAAGGAACACTTTATTTTGAACCCTCTTTGTGTGTCACCGTCTTGCTGTGGTAGTGGAGATTTGTGTGATCCAATGGTAGAGTACTGTTTGTAGGGTCCCCCATGTCAGGACAGGTAAAGAGATTAGGACTAGATGAAGAGAGACACAAACAGGGTGTCTTGTAGGTAGAAAAGGTGCTGTCAAAAATTAGAGGGAGAAAACCCTAAACATTTGGTTGTTGAAGTCTGGTGTACTGAGACACTGGCTTGATAAACCAGCTCACTGTGACCCAAGTTAAGATGTCAACACTTTATGTGGAACAACACAACAGTTTGTCAACACTTTCATGATTCATTGCATATCATTGGGCTGAAAGGTAAAAGCTCAGCCATTGCTAGATTAGTAACAGCAACAAAAATGTGTAGTATTACTGTATAGAAACTGTTTTTCTATGGTTTTTAGTTGTTGGTTACGAGAAGTGATAGGATGGCAATAGTACATGTGATTAAGCCCTTCATCTCTCTCACACGGTACCAAAGTATATGGATACCAGCTACATCCATTGTACTCTGGATTTTATACCTTCTTAAGGCACACTGCTTTGCTTTGATTTCAACAACGGTGGGAGTCTCAACTGTTTAGAGAGCAATGGCAAACTACTGAAAGTAATATTTCTTAGTAAAACCACAAAGAGCTAAGACATACTTTGGTTGGTCTGCGACATCCTGTGAAGTGTATGTAACCAGCAAGATTCTTCTAGATATATAGTAATACAACATTGTTATTTGAGAGAATGTCAGATGACAGAGGGGTAGAAACTGTGTACGCAAGACAAGGGACACAAGTGACCACCGGAAAGAGAGACCGGGGAAGACAATGTGAGAATATTGTTTTTACATGGCATGGAGGGATGTCAACAAACAAACTTATACATGCAGTTATAGATCACAGATTGTGAAGATCCATGATTGCCAAAGCCTATTGGCAAGAGAGTTTGATGATGATGACACAAGAGAGTTGAATGGTCGTAGACAACAAGGCAGACCAAGAAGACGATGGAGAGATAATATCCAGACAGACCTGCAAACACTTGGTGTTACCAACTGGAAAGAGAAGGCCAACCAGAGAGATGAATGGAGGCAGGTGATACCTGCAGCAATAAACCTCAAGGGCCCAGAACACTGAAGAAGAAGAAGAAGATATTGTATCAATCTATTATCCATTTTGTTTGTCTCAGACTTGAAAATACATTGTAGATTTTAGTGACCACCATAGAAGTGACAAAGCTGCAGGAAGAACTGGCTATGATGAGTCCAGAATTGGACAAAGCAGTCAAAGAAGCCACACTAACTATGGATCAGATTGCAACTGACACGGTAACATTTTTACTGTTATCTCTTTAGTGGATTTTTATTTTGATGTCGACTACATCACCTACTGATTACTGGTTAGTCTATTTAGTCTATATCAGTGTGGGGGGGGGGGGGGGGGGGGGGGAGGGGGGGGGAAGAGAACTAGGGGGAAGGGGAAGTTTCAATAAGGCATCAAGCAGTTTTGAAATTGAGTGCATTTATACATGTAGTAATCTCTTATGCTAACATGTTTTTTCAGTTTAATTATAAATAAAATAATGTAAACACTATTTATATAGTTAAAAAAAAAAACCAAGGTTGTTGTCATAGCCCTGTGGGAAGGGTATAGACGATAAGACCTGTAACTTCATATGTTTGTGTTTGACGGACCAAAAGGTGCACCAGCGGTCAGCCAACTGAATTGACAATATGGGGAAAACCCGAGATGGCTTGAACACTGGTACCACATACACGTTTTACCTGAAGCTGAACGGGGAGAGAGGAGGAGCGTTGGACATGGACGTGTGAGGCTGAAGTCATATAGAGACGTGATAGATTGTATTGTGTTAGGAGTTGTAAGATAGGGACTGTTAGCGTTGTCGTCATATGTGTTAGTTAACTGTTGTTAATGCATCATTAGCCCGACCCGGTGACGTCAGCAGAACGGCCAGTCAGCTAGAGCCAGTTGTGGTCTTGCCATATATTCAAGGAAGGGGTGTGGGCCACCTGGAAAAAAAATTTGAAAATCACTGGTGTATATTAATTTGAGTCTTCTACCATATGGTGAATGCATCATTGGCATAAAATGAATTCTTTACTTATCTATACCATTACTGTGATCTCTTTCAATCTCAGAAGATCTATCAGCAATTACACTTTCTCTTTGGCCCTTTATTTCCTAATGGAGCATAGGCCTTCAACCAGCTCACGCTAAGTCATCCCATCATTTGCTGTCACATGTAGCCCACCCCATGTCCTCCTTTCTTTTCCACTTCACTCTCTAATTCCCTTCTCCTTGTGGCTTTCAGGTCTGCTTTTATTCCAATGACCATGTGTGTTCCAGCCCAGTGACATTGTAGTTATATTGCTACAGCACTACATCCCCCCCTTCTACTTTCACTAATTGACCAACTGTCTATGATTCACTTCTGTATATCAGGATAAGATATATAGCTCTTGAGCATTACTCTCATCTCAATAAAAATTGCACAGAAATGTCCCAAATATTTCAGTTGAAAATAAACATTGTTCTTGTGGTCTCACAGATTATTGCAGAAAAAACCAAAGCAGAAGTGCAGAAGGAGGAACAGATAGCCTCAGTAAAACAGAGCGAGACTGAAGCTATTGCTGCCGATGCTCAGAAGGATTTAGACGAGGCCTTGCCTGCTTTGGTACATATCGTCATGTTGTGGCTGAAAAAGTCAGTGAGCAGATTTGTAGAACAATGACCCCTGCTTGAGAGAATTTGATCTAGAGCTTGAGTATAGTGTGTGAGAATTTAGAGTTTTTAAGTGTAGAGTTGAAGTATAATTTATGAGAACCTAATGTGTCATTAAAGAGTCATAGTTTACGAATGTAAGATTTAAGTGTAGAGTTATAGCATAATTTGTGAGAATTTAGGGTTTCTTTGTAGATTTACAATATAATTTGTGAGAATTTAGGGTTCCAGTGTAAAGTTGAAATATAATTTATGAGAATTTAATATGTCCTTAAAGAATCATAGTTTGTGATAATGTGAGATTAAAGTATAGAGTTATAGCATTATTTGTGAGAATTTATAGTTTCAGTATAGAGTTACAGTATAATTTTATGAGAAGTTCCAGTGTAGAGAGGCACTATAATTCAATAGTACATTGCTTTCAAAAATTCTAGTGCACCAGTTTTGACTCAGCTGGGGTATGTGTGAAATTGTAAAGGTGAAGGACCCTTTTCCACATCTTCTAGTATTGGGCAATACTAGACGTATATTTTATAGACCAATCAGCATTTGGTTGGGAATGTGGTTAGCATCATGCTGGCTGCCTTTACTTCCCAGTACTTTTCCTGGTACCCATTTAGGACTGAGTCAACCTGTTAACCAATGTCATTTTTGAAAGAAAAAAAGCTTCAACAAGACCTGAACCCAAGACCTTCAGTTCCATGGCTGAGCATCTAGCCACTAAACCATGGCAGCTCAAATATAGAGTTACTGTATAATTTATGAGAATTTAGAGTTTCATTGTAGAGAGGTGTTATAATTCTATAGTATATTGCCTTGAAAAATTCAAATTCTACCAGTTTTGACTCAGATACAAGAGGTGGGGTTTATGTGAAGCTGACAGATTCAAATTAGATTGTTATATATTTCTGCATACCTGAGCAACACCAAAAAAAAAAAAAAGCAGGTTACATGATGTAAGCATAACAATTACTGTGGAGAACTGGTAACATTATAGATAGTTCATTAAAATGTTACCTCTAATTTCAGTCCTGAATTATTATTCCTTTTAGCATTCAGGGCTGTAAACTCTTGACAGAAAGTCGTGGTTGTTCATCCATTGCTGGGCTTTGGTCTTGTTCCAGAACTTGAGTTTTGTCCACACATCCATTTTACAGATCTGGCTTATTTGTATGCGGACTGTTGGTTCCTTGCCTCTTAAGCAAATGCACTCCCAACTTTGAAGGAAACACTCATAAATAGTCAGTTGTTACAAAATGCTTAATGGGGCAATGGATTAATCCCCCCACCCCCACCTCACAATTGGGCACTGGATAACCCACACAGGGATTTTTTCAAACAGTTAATTAAAGAACATTTTTGACTCCAGGAATCTGCTTTATCAAGCCTGAAGTCTTTAAATAAGACGGATGTGACAGAGGTGAGAGCTCTACAGCGGCCGCCACCTGGTGTCAAACTTGTCATGGAGGCCACCTGTATCATGAAGGGAATCAAACCCAAGAAAGTGGCTGGAGATTTAGTAAGTGGCTGGTCACATATTTTGTAACCTGTTTCAAGTGAAGACTCTAAAGCACAGGTTCCCAACTCATGGATCATGACCCTATTTGGGGGTTATGAAGGGGTTTCTGTGCATTGAATGTTAAACAGATACAGCAGTAACAGAGCCAGAGGTCTACCGCGCAGAACATGGACCGCAGAAATATCAGAGACACTGAAAAGTACTTTAGATGAAGCTAACAGAAGGGCCCGTTCCAGAAATCTCTTCCTGATGTGGCAAGGCATTCCAGGAGTTGAGAAAAGAAAAAGCTGTGCAGTGATGATCTATGAAAATCCAATCATCACGTCCCAGACAGAGATTTGTTTGTAGAATCTGGGCACTGTTTGGCTTATGACTGGTCAACTTTTAGTGATACACACATACCCAGTGCCTAGTCTTGTTTCTTGTGGGTCGCAAAAGTTTGTCTTCACTGCCAGCGAATTGTGGTAAATATAATAAATCATATCCACAAATCATCCACAAATTTTGAAGCTTGTAAATGAGTTACAATTTAAATCATCCCATTAAATATGTCATAAGTTAACTTATTGTAAATTATTTTATATTTTTTTCTTGTACTGCCTTTATTATACCACTTTTGTGGTGTAGGCTTGGGGGTGGGGGGGGGGGGGGGGGCGTCTTTGAGCCTGAGGATTTGCAGCCACATGGCCAGTGCTTTTGCTACAACTGTGCAGGTGAAGATTTTATTTTGCCCCTGACAAAAAAATCCCCAGCCTTACCGAGGATTTGAACCTGGGTCTCCTTCTTGAGAGCGTAGCATTCTAACTGTTCGTCCAACCGCTCCAATTAAACATATATTTTAATATGTTTTTCATTTACTTTATTTAAAAATACAAACACTATTGTTAATGTATGAAGTCGCGAGTCATTTTACCTTTATAAACTGGGGTCATGACTCAAAAATGGTTAGGAACTGCTACTCTACAGTGTTTTATTTATTGTTCTTTTTGCTCTTCCTCCTGCTGCTCCCTCCTGTTCAGATATTTCTGGTAATTCAGAAACATTTCAGATTACGCCAAAAGGCGTAAATATCACAGCCAAGCTGAACACGGGCACAACACATATCTCTGAAGGAACGCAGAAGAAGAAGAACAGAAATAACTGAGATAGAAACTTTTCAAGTAACAATTAGGATTGTAACTACAAGTAATATTCATGAGACCACAGGGACAAAAAATACTCTATTAACTTGGCTCATTTGTAAGGATTAACTAAATCATACTCCCATCTAATCATAAATAACAGCCATGCTTAAGAAACAGGAAGCGCAGCCAAGAAGATGGACACACAAAATGGACCCTCACCATGACAGCAGGACCAATATAGAGGACCTAGACATTTCCAGAAATGACATCTCACACAGTTAGGGACAGTAAGCAACAACTACTAACACAACAGACTATTTAAGCCAATGAACTTTGCAGAACTAAAACTACACAATAATTATGTTTTCAGGGTGGTATGACCTGAAAAAAGGGGAAAACTGACAAAAGAGTGGGTATCACGTCATAGGGTTGGATGCCGGCCGCTCACTGAAGGTTTAAGTTGTATCACCTATTTACATGAGGTGTTTTAGGGGTCAATAAGAGTTACCTGGGCTGCCTGGACATATGGTGGTCTGGCTTATATAGAGGGAAAAACTGAAAAAAATTGTCAAAAACAAACAGCCATACTCCCATTTATTACCAACACAGTTAAAAAGAACAATAAATAGTAATGCTGTGCCTTTCTATACATGCCATAAATGTGATACTAAGGAGGGTTAGCATAACACTGGGTACTTCATCCAATAAGGAACTAGCTGTAAAATCCGACCAGTCATAAGAAAATCTACAAAAGCCGTGGCTATGTGTGTAGAGTTCCTATTCTCCTGTAAAAAATGAAAGGCAGGAGAAGAAAAACTGGACGTATATGATAAATCTGGTGTGGCATGAAATGGTTCAGAGTCAAGAGGACAGATCATTAAACTGTGTTTCATTCCATATGGCTCAGTGTCTCTTTATATCTCTCTCTCTCTCTCTCTTGCGCGCACTCTGTCTGTCTCTCTCTTCCTATATATATATATATATGAATTCAAGATTCTGAAGGAGAAGAAAAGACACTTGCTTTGGATAGGACAAATGTTCAGAAAATGTGACAATAGAATAACAAGCAGGAATTTACACTGGAACCCCCAGGGACATAAAAATAAAGCCAGACAAAAAACAAACAAAAGGGTACTAGAGAATATAGTTTAGAAAAAAAAAAAAAGGACGTGAGTGAACTGAATGCAGCAGCAAAAAATAGAATGAATTTGCATGATTTGGTTAACTCCATCACAGAAAGGGCATAGTTGATACCCTAGCGAGTAAATTGGGAAGTGACCAAAATTATTGGTATACTACACTCACAGAGCCCAAATGCACATCTCCTATGGGTGACAAATGTGTTGTTGAGTGTTTTTGCATGCCCTGGCTAAACATTATTAAAAATGTTCAAACGTAATCATCTTCTTTGTGTTTGCTGGCTGTAAACTATGGTAGAAGAAAGTTCTGGTTGTTCATCCAACTTCTTGGCTTTGGCCTTGGTCCATAACCTAATTGTTGCATGCACATCTGTTTTTCAGATCTTTTTTTTTTTTTTTATGCAGGCGGTTGGTTCCTTGCCTCTCAAGCAGGTGCACTCCAACTTCAGAGAAAGCCCCCAGTTAATTGACTCTTACGACATGCTGGTTGAGGAGGCAGTGGTTCTATTCTTGTTTTTCCTATAATGGAGCCCTGGAACCCACAATTGGAAAGAGCATAATAATATCTTAATTGGTGTATATGACTAAATCCAGTTATATGTAGTGCGTTATTTGGGACTGAAACAATAAGGGTATGGGCTCCATTGTAGAAAGAAGGAGGCAAGCAAAAGATGAACTGAACAATGCAATCTGAAAAAGGAACCCACAACCTTTGGAGCAAGAGGCAGCAATCATAATCACTCTGCCATAGAAACCCTATTAACACTTCTGGCTCCTACAATACACCATATGTGATTGGATTTACTCCTGTGCACCAGTCAAATATGATTTTGGTTGTACATTTTATGTTTAAACAGAGCATAGTAAAACACACAAGTCTCCTACATGTGTTGGGTATTGAGCTCCTGTGGATATAGTATGCCCATGCTTTCATTGCTATCATTATTGCCTAATCTGGGCATTAACTTTGACCTTCTTGGTCTTAAAAAAATTTCACCAAAAAATTTTTTTTTTTAAATTTCATTCTATTCACAGCCAGGGCAAAAAATTGATGACTACTGGGAAGTTGGCAAGGGCCAGCTACAAGACCCACAGAAGTTTTTGGACAGTCTCTTTAATTATGACAAGGACAACATTCCTCCAGAGGTCATCAAGAAAATTGAGCCATACGCTGTCAACCCAAACTTCACACCTGAAGCTATCTCCAAAGTAAGAGAGTTTCATTAAATTCCATCATCAGTATCTAGTGCCCTGCAGACTGGCGTGGATGATCATGCCTCTCTCTACAATCAGCAGATTTTAACCATGTTTATCAGTTTCTCTGTTGACACCTGTCCATGAAATGCCACAAGGTTGTCAAATCTTCTCTCGCATTGTCCTCCTGTGTCGCTTTTTCCACATATCTTTTCAGGGATCACATCAACTTCCAGTTTCCTTCATCTCATTAGGTGACCCAAAAAATGATGACTTTCTCTTACTGTTCTTTGTGATAAGTTGTCTTTGAACCGTCACCTCTTTCAAAACATCTGAGCAGCTTTGTGTGTGTGTGTGTGTGTGTGTGTCTGTTGAAGGAATTCTCATGATTCTTTTATAAAGCTAGTTATATTCTTGTAACATTCTAAGTATTTGAAACCAATAAACATTAAATTTGACAAAATTCAAGACAGACAAAGAAGCCAGCATGTGACCAGCCACTGGTGTCAGTTGTATGTATATGAAAAAAGATTCTGAAACAAAGGCAGACTTAGCATTTTAATACAGACACTGAAGTGGGAAACAAATGGGTTGAGCAGTTGAGGACACCTAATAGAAACACTACAGAAAATGTTGATGGAAGAGACAAAGGTGCTGGATTTAAGTTCTATGCATACTGAAACCAAATTTAGACAGAGCAGAACAGGTTACAAACAGATTACAGTGTACATGGAGGTATGTCCATACACCAGGCACAGCAAGCCAGCAGTCTTGGGTTGACTAGCTCTTCTATGGAAGGGTCAAAAGTGAAAATTAGTAGCCTGCTAATGACCTGTAAGACACCCAAGCCAGCCCCACCTCCCTTGCATTGCACACTGGATAACTGAGGCCACAAGGTCTCAGGCTAATAAAGCTCTGGCCAGCCTGGTAAGATGGGATCCATCTGGTTAAATACTCCCTCCAGTTGTGACAGACCTAGCAAGCCGGCAGTGAATTACATCTTGCTCCAAAAAAAACACTAAGAAGAGAAATCAGGCTGATCCCCCACAGAGAGCCCTGTCACTTAGATACATTAGAAACAGAGGTAGAGATTGACCATGCAAGCAGTGGATAGATGCAGTAACCTAGACTGTAAATACCAGCATCTACTTAGCACATACCGAGCCTTGCACCCGATTCCTTTTTAAAACCTGACACTAAAAGGGCAAAACAGGACCAAAGAAGAAGAAAAAGAATTTGTCATCAGTACTGATGATAATTTTGTTATATTCTCAATATTGATGAAAATCTTGTAACATCAGTAGTTGATGATAATCTTGTAATAATATCAGTATTTATGATCATCTTGTAACATTCTTAGTACTGATAATAATCTTGAAACATTTTCAGAAATAATAATATTCTTGTAACATGCTCAGATGAGCTGAGTTCGTTCAAGAACTGACAACACAACACTTGGGACATTCCCGTAAGCACTCCCGTCTTCATCTTCAACAGCCAGCACAGAGTGCCAATACTGGTGGTGCCAGTAGCAGACTGATGATATGTCCATGTTGTCTTTCATCTGAGCTTCAAGTATCAGCCAGCTCCTCTTGTGACTCCTTGCTGCATCACTCTCACCAGACTGTGATGATCAATTTGCTGTTCTCAATTGTACATGTGCTCCCTTAAGGCCTTTTAATCACATCTGCCTTATCATGCATCAACAAGTTGTGCAGAGCCAACCAGTCTGTCGGCAAGTTCATTTCCCAACACTCCATCTGTTCCTTTCACAACACATAGGCATGTCCCAGTGTAAACATTCTCAGTATTTATAATAAAAATTGTAACATTCTCAGTTTTATAATAATCTTGTAACATTGCATTCATAAGCTCATGATATTCTCATTATTAAACAGGTATCTAAGGCTTGCACCTCCATTTGCCAGTGGGTACTGGCTATGTATAAGTACCACTTTGTGGCAATAAACGTGGCCCCAAAAAGGAAGAAACTCAAACAGGCAATGGAGGAACTAGAAGTGACAGAGAAGATGCTGTTCACAGCAAAGAAAAAGCTTTATGATGTTGAAGCAGGCGTGGCCAAGCTTCAGAGGCAGTACAATGAAAGTATGGCCAAGAAACAGCACCTGGAGGACAAATGTAAACTGTGCATGGCCCGGCTGGATCGAGCTGACAAGGTTAGTCTGTGTTTTGGTACATGTGTGTGCGGGAAGCTGACACGTCTCGAGGCATGGCGTCCGTTGAAGGCTGGGTTTTTTCATGTGGACTTCTAGTAATTTCCATTGGTCTCTGGGTAGTAAGAACGGAAACCCATGTATATTGCTGCGCACATTTAAAAAAATCCCCTATCAGTTGGAAATCGAAAAGAGTAGCCTAATGGCACTTCACAGACAAAATTTAGAGTTTAAAATCTACCCAAAGTATTTTAGGATTCTCAGCGGTGCTACGGAGTTCGTGCACTGCATTGAGATTCTTCCGACTCAGGTTTGAGTTAGAATGAATTCCAGAGAAATTTGACTAAAAAGCTCAACAAAATGGGAAAGAGGAAAACGTGCACAAAACAACACAACGTAACGTTTCGGCCAGGCAGCCTTTTTCAAACACAAGTGAAATACACAAACGAGGAATGGAGAGTATGTAGATCTCTAAGGGGTGACGTGAGCGATGTTTAAAAAAAGTTAGAAGTAGAACAGAGCACTTATTGGTTACCACCCTTATGCCATGATGTGGATCCTTCGTTTAAGTCAGAAACTGGTACATGTGTAAAAGTTTAAAGTAAAAGACCCTTCTATCACCAGTTGGCACCTGAGTGTTAAGTGCATATCCATTTTACAGATCTGACTCATGCCTATGCAGACTGTTGGTTCCTTTCCTCTCAGGCAGATGCACTCTGACTTTGAAGGAAGCTCCTAATTATCGACTCTTACGACATGCTTTTGGTAAGGCAGTGGATCTATTCTTGTTTTCCATATAATAGGGCCATGGAACCCACACGGGGAAGTTGGCATTTGAAGGGTGACTGAGTTCTGGTTAATATGTGGATAGACAGACTACCTGTTATTAGTCATTGCAAGTGTTTGCTTCTAACATTTTTAGCTGTTGCATTATCCTCCAGATCTGGGTGGAAAGGATATAGTTCCTGTGCCGAAGCTGCTGAGATGAGTACATGGTACAACACTAAGAGTTGCAGATTTCATTTGTAATGCTTTTCGAATGTGCCTAACATTGTTAATGTTGTTAAGCGATAGATTTAGAAAATGAATAGCTGCCTGTTGCCATAGAACTGATGGTGCCTCATGCAGTTAATTGAGAGTGTGCACTACTGATTTGTTGTAATGCTGGTTCCGTCAACAGTGAACTACATTTGTTAGTGTCGGACTGTTTGTATTGACACTTCTGATGACTGTCTTATGCATTAAATGCATGTGTTTGCTACTTGCTTTACTGCAGCTAGTCTGTGTAAAATTTTTCATAAGGGACAGTGATAGACACTCTGTGGTTTTCACTGGCACAGGAATGGAGCAGCTATGGGGTGACCGACCACTATGCTACAGTAGCTCCCATACGTGTTTAAGATTGCCTGAATTTGGATTTGAGTTTGGATCCATGACAAAACAAAACAAAAGAAGAAAATGGGTTGGTTAAGGGCCTAGTTTCCTTTGGGGAATAAAATGCAGACTACAAATAATTTGGAAATTCCCAGTGTAGTGCCTGTTTGGTGATTCTCTGCTCGTTTCACCTCAGAATGTGTTCAGTTGTTACCATCTTCTTTGTCTTTTAACTATTGTAACCTTTCAACTATTGTAACCATTCTACTGACTTTATTTTGCAAAAAATAATTGTATCAGTATGAGTATTTTTGGGAGCCATGGTTTAGTGACAAGATGCTCACCTGCGGATCCATAGGCAGTTCATTCATGTCCTGATAAAGCCAAACTTTTTTCAGAAATGACCTTGGCTTTCAGGTGAATCTAGCCTTAAATGGGTACTAGGGAAAGTCCTGGGAAGAAGTGGTTGCCAGAGGGATGTTGACCTCATCACCCACCGAGTGCTGATTGGTCTGTAAAATATAGGTTTAGCCCTATATGCCCAATACACATGAAGGTGTAGAAAATTACCTATCAGTAATTATGGGCGCAGTGGTTGGGTAGCAGCTAGATGTTCGCTTACCAGTCCCAAAGTCCAGGGTTCAAATCTTAATAATTTCTTTTTTTTTTTTCTTTTTTAAAGAATGGACCTTCTTTTCCAGGTTGACCCAGCCATCAATAAAAACCAGATAATGTCCTCAGAAGTAAAATTGTCGGCGTGATGTTGACTGCATCACCAACACAATGCTGACTGGTCCATAAAGATATGTGCCGCACATCTTATGACTCATAAACCACGCATCTTATGGCTCATGTGCCACGCACCATGCGGCTCATGTGCCGCTTTCATAAAAAAGGACCCTGTACTCAGTTTTAGCTAGTAATTATTTGAATGTTTTCCAGCTCATAAATAGCTTGGCAGATGAAAAAGACAGATGGGGTGACTCTATAAAGAACTATGAGAGACTGATCACTTTTGTTCCTGGGAATGTTCTCATATCAGCCGCCTTTGTTGCCTACCTTGGACCTTTCACTGTAAGTAATGCATGCAGAGCATTTTGTTTTCCTAAGAAAAAATAAAAAGGGGCCAGTATTCACCATAAAGTATTTCAGGATCCTCACCGGTGCTACAGAGCTTGTGCACTGTGCTTAGCTTCTTCAGACTCAGGCTTGAGTTAAAAGAACGAAGCACTTATGTGTGCCGTGATGTTGACACCTCAAACCATAAAGTGTCTAGAAATGGTGTCGGATAGAACCCTCCACAAAGTATCTGCTACAGTACCACTAAAAAATTCAAATGTCACCATACAACTTCCTATGCTGTATTCTAAGACCCATGGGGGAGTAAGGGGGGGGGGGGAAGTTAAAAGTTAGTTGCAAATCTTTTACACTATGTTGCAGAACCAAACCCTAGCATTTTTTTGTTGTTGTTGCTGTTGTTGTTTTTGAAGGCAAAGTTATGTTCAGTAGTTTGCCATCGCTACTGAATGGTCGGCTCTCGGTACCACTGTTGAAACCAGTGCAAGACGTTCTGCTACGAAATCACCTGCCGCTGGGATTGAACCTGGCACACCGGCATTATGAATCACGTTCGCAGCGCCTAAGCCACTAATGCCGACAAGCATACTGTACAAAGCAACTAATTAAGACTTTGCAGAAATCAAATGTATTTTACTGAAATGCACAGATAATGCAGCCTAGCTGTAAACCACAACATGCCAACCACCCTTTTAATGTAAGTGCAAAAAAAAAAAAAAAAAAAAAAAAAAAAAAAAAAAAAAAAGATATTTTTGCAAAGTATTGTATAATTATTCACAAATGACTTTGACCTAATTGTCAACCCAACCTTAGAGTGGGTACCAGGTGCAGTCCTGGGAAGTAAAGGCCGTCTGGCATGCTGCTGACCACATCATCCATCTTGTGCCGATTGGTCTATACAAATCTAGGTCTAGCCCTATATGTCCTATACGCCTAAAGGCATGGAAAGGGACCTTTACTTTACTTGTATAATTATTAATGTAATGTTTGGTCAGTAATCGAAACAACAAGAGGCAGAAGAAGATGGATTTTGTGACAACTTGAGACTTCATAACATCACGGCATATTAGACTTATGTCGGTTGCCGATCATTGACTCAGTGACACAATCAGATTTGACAAAAGAAAGAATGTTTTTAAAGAGACATAATTTTGTGAACTATTGTTCAGTGACAAAACACTTTTTCAATTATCGTTCAACATTCAATAAGTTACCTGTCCCTGCTAACAGACATAAGCAATCATGCTTGACCCTGTCTTGCAACTTCCAGCACTTTGTTTTAGTTTGAGTAAGAAACCTTCTTCATGTTGTAACAAAGGTCTGTTAAAAATGTTCTCTCCTTGACATCCTCATCTTTTCCCTCTTAGCCAAATAGCTTCTTTTTTTTAAAGCCAGTTTGATGTCAGACTTTCATGTAAGCCTCAGTGATAGGGGTTACAGGCTAATGACATGAGTCACCCAATGATCTTGTTTTTCTAGGCCTCAGGGAATGTATTAACATTCTGATACTGTTTGTTGCTAGCTCCCTTTATATGTCTTAATATATTTTGAATACAAAATTTTATAATCTTTTATATGTCTTTATATATTTTTAAAACAAAATTTGATAATGTAGATAATTAAATGAAAGAAAATATATGAGTGGTCTGTGTAAAGTTGTTTTCTTTACAGGATTTCTTCTGATATTTCCATGAGGTCATGATCAATTTATTTATCACTACCATGGTGATAGGGTTGAGGAGAAATGGTGGGTCTCTTCTGCCCCTTCCCCTACCCCCGCTCAAAAAAAAAAACAAATGGGCTCCTAAAATCTACATAGGTAATAAAAACTTTTAGTGTCAGTTTTCAAATGCATTACCTACAGGCTGACTATCGGGCAAAGATGGTTAGTGACTGGAGCAGAAGCCTACCTGACCACCATGTTCCATCCTCCCGGGATCCGAACTTCCTGAACATAATGAGTGATCCTGTGAAACTCAGGAGCTGGCAGATCTTTGGTTTGCCAGCAGACGCCTACTCTGCCGAGAACGGGGTCATTGTTAGCCTGTCCAGACGTTGGCCTCTGTTTATTGATCCTCAGGGTCAAGCCAACAAGTGGATTAAGAATATGGTAAACCCTTTTATTCATTTTGTCATGCTCCTCCACGGTCTCCTCCTCCTTTCCTTCTTCTTCTCCTCCTTATTCTTCATTTATATATGTGTGTGTGTGTGTGAGTGCATGCATGCATGCGCGTGCATATACCACCTGAGCTTTTGTATATACTTGATGTAATAAGGTGAATTCCCATGGGAAATCCCAGATAGTTCCCGATTGGGGGAACAAAGTCAGAGGACCAGTGAAACAAGAGGAAAGTGAGATAAGCATGTCTCAAGTATCTCGTGTTGGGTGAATAGAGGTACGAGGAAAGCGTGAGACTAGAACGGAAGGTGTGAACCCAGAAAGAATAGGAAGTCAGTTGAAGTTTGGACGTAGAAGTGTGCAGTCCAATGCAGCGGAGCATCTGAGAAGAATGCAGACTGTCTGACCACGTGTACTTGTTCGAGATGAAGAATGAATATCTACTGACTGTAAGTTTCGACTGTGTACAGGTACCAGGAACAAGATGTTAGCCTGATCCAGATGTATTGTCTGACAGGTAACTGCAGAGAGAATCACGGTGTGAGATAATTGGAACTGTTGTTATAAATCAGCCATGTGTAGCAGCCAAGAGAATACAGATGAGCGACTGGACAGTGTAGGGGTTGGAATAGCTAATAAAGATCGATAACTGCTGTTTGTCGTCTGGTGTGTTCATAGTAACTTTACATAACTAAGAACGTCTCTACAGCAGTGTGATGAGTTTAATCAAACCCTAGACAGAGCCACATTGCACTTGATATTATGTATACTGTTATATGGTCATAACATGCTTTAATGATAAAATACAATCGTTGTGGTAAAAGATAAAGTGTTGGAAAGACTGAATGTCAGATTGGCCTGCATTCCCAATTTTTGACCCTTTGAAAATAATGTTTGTTTGTTACTTCTTCTTCTTCTTCAAGATTGAAAAAAGTCTGACACAATGCAGATTCAAACCCATACTAGGATTTTAGAACATAGTGCACTATGGTTTTTCCTGCCTAATAGTTGCATTCAGTTTGTTTCTCTCATGTGCTTTTTATTTTCAGAGTTATTGGGGGGGGGGAGGGGGGGGGGAAACCAAGGCTATTCGCTACATTGTTCTTTGAAACTACATTTCCATTGAAACCAAGCATCATCTTCATTTGTGCACTTACATTCCGAGATTCACTTCCATCGAACAGAACAGGAACAGCCTAACATTTATCTACTCTCTCTGACATAGCTTTAATCTCTTTCTGACATAGCTTTAATCTCTTTCTGACATAGCTTTAATCTCTTTCTGACATAGCTTTAATCTCTTTCTGACATAGCTTTAATCTGTTTCTGACATAGCTTTAATCTCTTTCTGACATAGCTTTAATCTCTTTCTGACATAGCTTTAATCTCTTTCTGACATAGCTTTAATCTCTTTCTGCCCAACACATTTTGTAATATAACTCTCTCTGCTCCAAGGTTTGTGCATGAAAATATTCAGTGCAAAGTCTGAAAACTGAAATCAGTCCAAAACATGTAAAGAGTCTAAAGCAGGAAAATCAAAACACCAAAAGACAGAGGGAGGCCTAGAAGAAAATGGATCAAAGGAATCACTGAACCTAAGTCTTCACAACATCACAGGATACCAAGGACCCGAGCGGGCCCTATTTCAGCTACCTACCAACTCTTAAACTGTAGTGCCTAGTGACACAAGGCGGACATTGACAGAAGAAGCCTGAATCTTGAAAGATGAGACTCTATTGGACAAAACAGATTCAGCATTCTGGATTATAAATTAGGCACCAGCACCATAACACTATGGACATTCCCATAAGCATACCATCCCCATCTTCAGCACCAACTCAGTTCCAAATCTGATGGTACCAGTAACACTCTGAATGTCTGTCGCGCCTCTCTCCTGAATGTTGAGCATTGGTCATGATCCCGGTTACTCCTCACTGATTAGAATTAGTTAATAAAACTACTGTCTAAGTAAAATAGAGCAAGAATAAAACACTTTGATGTTACCAGGAAACATTTGGTGAGTTGTTGGGTAGCCAGTAAAGTTACCGTTTTTTTTTTTCTGTGCATAAGACACCATTTTTCTAATTTACAGTTGCGGTTGTCTTATATGCAGAATGTGTTTACAGTATTTATGTCTTAATTGTGGGCTTTAAAAACTAAGGGTCATCTTATACATGGGAGCTTGTTGTACATGCTAAAATATAGTAATTAAATTAGCAGTCCTCAAACCCCAGCGGTCCACAGAACAAAGTTAAGGCATCCAGGATAACATTTACAGGAAAAAACCTTAACTGTACTTTTGTTATTATAATATTTGTTTATTTCTTTTAAATTTATTTCTTCAGTATGACTGTTGCATTCAGAGTAAGGACAAGGCACAGACTTTGCCAATATATGTTCAGATTTTTGGGTGTAGGAAACATAGAGATATATCCCTGCAATTTGGCACCAGAAAATGCTGAGCATGCGCTCAGATGTTGTCAACTGCATGTTGCTAAAAGAGAAGCAGTTTGGCCTATTCAGACTTCATTGAAGACAAAGCTGTATGGTACACAGGGAAGTTGGGACTGCTTGATCATCATCATTAGGTAGCAGGTATTTTGCAAAACGTTGCTGTCATCACAGTCTGCCTGAAAGAGATTTGGTCTCTTGCCTATTCATAAAGGCTACAATTTTTTTTTGTATACATGACAAGGCAGATGAGGTCAAGGCCCTTTAGGAACCAGCAACGGAATCAGTAAAGAAACAAGATTGCTATGGCCTGGAGAGAATGAGGCACCTGGGTGTAACCAGATGATCTGGCCTGCTCACTAAACTCAGAAGAAAGGCAAGACGGACATATAACCAGATTGATACCAGCACCATCAGTATTGAAACTGCGCTAGCTGCTGAAGATGATGACGGAGCATGCATGGGAATGCCCCGAGTGCTGTGATGTCAAATCTTGACTCAACTCATCTCATAAAGGCTACTAGCCTTCTTATATAAATTTTCTGACAAAAGGATCGCAGAAGAAGACTTAAAGAAATGTAGGGGTCTTTGGCGAACCTTCAGAAATAAGAGAAATCGGCAGGTCATACCTGATTTAGAAATTGCTGGTTTAAATAATGAATGTTATGACTGTCTTATTGTCACAATGACAGGAAGCTGCAAATGAGCTTGATGTGGTGAAACAGTCCAGTAGAGATTATATTCGGGCTCTGGAAAATGCCATCAGGTTTGGGAAGCCTTGCCTGATGGAAAATGTAGGCTCTGACCTAGATCCTTCCTTGGAACCTATTCTGTTGCGACAGGTGAGACTCTTGACCCCCCCCCCCCTCCCCCTCCCCCCGACACAAACGCTCACACACGCACGCATGCACATGGCACACAAATTAACACAGCCGTTGTCTTTTTTTTTCAGCCATACTTGATTATGCAATGTTTTTTTTTTTTTCAAAGGAACCTTAACTGCATGCCGTGGAAAAAAAAAGTATATATTTTACACATGCACACTTTCATATTTCTTATTCCTGTGTGGATTCCAGGCCCCTGGGGGGGGGGGGGGGGGGGGGGTGGACCCACTACCACCCCCAACCCACCCCACAAAAAATGTCATAAGAGGCAACTAATTATGGGTGTTTCCTTCAAAGTCAGAGGGACAAGGAGCCAGCAGTGCCCATACAAATTAGCCAGATTTGTAAAATGAATCTGCACACAAAACTAAAGTCATAGAGCAAGACCAAAGTCTAGAGATGGACAAACAGCCAGAACTTGCTGCTAGAGTTTACAGCTGGTGAATGCTATTAAGAACGAAAAAGAAGGTGAACAAAAGAAAAAGATTTCTTTAGTATGTTATAAGTCCTCATCATTATCATGTTTCCACTTTGCCATTAACCTTTACAGAATGTCGCTCTCTCCACGGCATGCCTGAATATATCCCTTTTCCTAGCCAGCTCTCCGGGCCCATGTGCTTTCAATGCCAATGCATCTTCATTGTCCTGTATCTATCTTCATGGTAGTTGACCTGGTAACATCTTAAAAAAAAAAAAAAAAAATTTTTTTTCAAATTTTATTAAAAAACAACATATTGTAATTATCTTCTTTTTCTTTTGTTTACCTGCTGTAAGCTTCAGCAGAAAGACCTAGTTGATTGTCCATTTGGACTTTGACTTTTGACTTTGAGTTTTGCGTGTGCATTTGTTTTAATGACTTATATGTGTGTAGTTGGTTGCTTCTTGCCGCTCGGGCAGATGTTCTCTGACTTCAAAGGAAGCTCCAAATTAGAAAATTCCTACGACATGCTTGTTGGGGAGGCAGTGGATCTATTCTTGTGTTTTTTTCCACAGTGGGGACACAGAACTCACACGGGGAGTAAATGACTGAAACTCAACCCTTTAAAACTAGTAAAAAAGAAGAAGCAGTAGCAGAACTTTGAAGTCTTTGGTCAATTTTTATAAAATTCCAGGGGGTTGAAACATAAAACTACAGAGCAGTCAGGCAAGTCTGCTGGCGGTTGCATGATTATGTCCTCCTTGTCACTATAATGATGGATTTTTCTTATTTAAAGTCATTATTTTTCACAAAGGTGATTTTTTTTTTTTAATGAAGGAAGGTAATCACTAAATACTAATGAAACAGTAGTTTTATTGACACAGCACAAAAGTCAAGTAACCTCCACCAAAACAGATTTTCTTTCCAGGCCAAATGATATTTACTTTTTTGTGTGTGGTTAATTTAAAGTGTATATCTGCAAGTGTGCATGTGTGTGTGAAAAAAAAAAAACTTTTGATCATACCAATCATGTCTAAACTCTGTGCAGTTGCAGCAAGTACTAAAGCTGTTAAATAGGTGTACTGGCCACTGCTCAAAGATGTCATGTCATCAACAATCTGTGAATGTAGAATTAAGAATCGACATCACAGCGCTCGGGACACTCCCATAAGTGCTCTGATTGTATATCCGTCTCATCCTTTCCCTGAGTGTTAAGCATCGGCCAAATCCCCTGATAACTCCTCCCGGCCCCATTCTCCTCAGACAGTAATGATCTATCTGTGCCTCTGCACTGTTTACTCGTTCACAATGGGTCCTTACAATATCTAGCTTGTTATAAGTTGGGAAACCTGCTTTCTTGGGGCAGTAGAGTTTAGCGTCCTGAAGAGAAACACTTTACGGCTAACCTCCAAATAACGGGCACAAAATATGGCGGTCGCAAAAACATCCTAACAGAGCCTCAGTCACGTGTCAATTGCACACTTCTGGCGACCTAATTTGCGGTTTTCCGGCGACTATCGCCACCGCCGAGAGTATCCCCCACGCCGCGTGAGTGGTGTGGATTGAGGCTAAACTAGATGGCTGGGACTCACGAGCAGTAGCTTCCGCATCTCCTGCAACTTTGCTCGTGAGTCCCAGCCATCTAGTTTAGCCCCAATCCACGCCGCATGAGCGGCATGGGGGATACTCTCGGCGGTGGCGGTAGTTGCCGGAAAACTGCAAATTAGGTCGCCGGAAGTGCGCAATTGACACGTGACTTAGGCCCTGTTTTGGACTGCCATTGGCCGCCATATTTTGTGCCCGTTATTCGGAGGATAGCCCACTTTACTATCCATTGCTACATGGGTAGAACTGGCTGCTGTCACTCCATAGTAATTTCTTTTTCTTCGCGTTTACCGGCTGTAAACGCCAACAGAAAGTTATGGTTGTTCATCTATTCCTGGACTGTAGCCCTGTTCCAGAACCTGAGTGTTGCATGCATATCCATTTTACAGATCTGACTCATGCCTATGCAGACTGTTGGTTGTTTGCCTCTCAGCCAGATGCACTCTTACTTTGAAGGAAGTTCCCAGTTAGTTGACTGTTACAAGGTGATTTTGGGTAGGCAGTGGGTCTTTTCTTGTTTTCTCCACAGTTGGGTTCCAGAAATCAAATGGGGATTTCCATATCAATGTAGAAGTCTTGAATGTCATCAGTCCATCTTCTCCTTGTGTTCTTTCTTGCTTTCACTTAAGATCTTCTTAGATGTAGCATCTATCTTGTTAGTTGCTGCTGCTACATTCTTACAGATGACCGAACCATTTGATCTTCTGCTTCTGAATTAATTTGATGCAAGGTATTGTTCCTACAATCTGTGTGAAAGTATCATTTGTTACTCTGTCTCAGATTGGTGGCATTTCTCAGGCATCTCACCTGACAACTGTTAATTATGTTTTGGGGGCTGTGTGGTCTGGAGGCATGGTGTCCGCTTCAAGTGCTAGAGGTTCCGGGGTTAATCCCTGATAAGGGCTGGGATTTTTTCATGTGCAGTTGGACTTCTAATAATTGCCCCTGTTCTCTGGTTAGCAAGATCTGATGCCAGTGTGCATTGTTGTGCTCGTAAAAAATTCCTTGGCATTTAGAAATCAAAAAGAGTAGCCTGAAAGCGCTGCCCGGGCAAAATTAGAAGTTGAAAATCTACTCAAAGTATTTCAGGATCCTCGCCGGTGCTACAGAACCTGTGTAGTATGCTGAGCTTCTTCGGACTCAAACTTGAGTTAGAAGAAGAACGGAGCACTTATGGGTTACGCCTGTGTGCCATGATGTTGATCTGTTGTTCAAAACTTCAAAACCTTAAATGATGTTTTGACTACAAGCCACAAATTTATGTATACATGAAATATGTTTTGGTCCCTGAGACATTTTCTGGTACATGAGACATTTTCTGGTACATGAGACATTTTCTGGTACGTGAGACATTCTCTGGAGCATGAGACATTCTCTGGAGCATGAGACATTCTCTGGAGCATCAGACGTTCTCTGGCACATGAGACATTATCTGGAGCATGAGACATTCTTTGAAGCATGAGACATTCTCTGGAGCATGAGACATTATCTGGAGCATGAGACATTATCTGGAGCATGAGACATTATCTGGAGCATGAGACATTATCTGGAGCATGAGACATTATCTGGAGCATGAGACATTATCTGGAGCATGAGACATTATCTGGAGCATGAGACATTATCTGGAGCATGAGACATTATCTGGAGCATGAGACATTCTCTGGAGCATGAGACATTCTCTGGAGCATGAGACATTCTCTGGAGCATGAGACATTCTCTGGAGCATGAGACATTCTCTGGCACATGAGAAGGATATGCTTGACTGCTGACCCTCAAAGACCTGGGTTCAGATTTAGTTGAGACTGATTTCTTTTATAGTTGATCTTGTCTCTGAGCTGAACGCTGGCTAAAATTGATACCAGAAAAATGTTATTTCAAGCAAATGTGGCCACATCACTCATTCAGTACAGATTGGTTTATAATCATATGGTTTATAAATATGTGTCAAGTGCTCTATGCCAGATGAGCGAGGTTATGAAATGATTTTTTTACTTTTTTGTTTGCCTGGCTCTTTAGCTAACCCAGATTGGGCGGTGACTGGGTGACGAACTCCTTGTGGTCCGGGTTCACTCCTGGGGGTAGGCAGAAAAGCCACATTTCTCCCAGATTTACGGTATTTATCAGGGAATTAAGGCTGAAAGGTTGCGATATCCATAATATCGAGCCTGGATACTAAAACAAACAAACAAAACAACCTTTTTGTTTTGTTTTTTAACATAAAGGAAATGTAGTCAGACATGATGAGTTGTTGGGGGCTAATTGAGTTACCTAAATACCATATCTTTCTGTGTATAAAATGATTTCCCCAATTTGTAAGTTTAAAATTGGGGATAGTCTTATGCACGGAATGTCTTAAAAATATATATTTCCCAGCTTTGGGCTCATAAAAATAGAAATCGTCTCTTGCCTGCCCGCCATCATTATGGGCTGTAATTCCAAAGACTTCCTATATGACATAGAAAAACATTAATGTCTACGTAATGTTACTGCAATAGACACTAAACCTCATGATTGTCTTTCCCGACCCTGGCATTCTTAACCCCTTCTTCTAACACATAATTTATGCTAACTGTATGTTTATCCTAACTCTTTTTATAAGGATTAACTTTGTCATACCAGTCTGGTAAGATAAAAGGCCAGGAAATAATACGCAATTCATATATTCCTGTTGAATCTACCCAGACATTCAAACAACAAGGAACCGTTGTGATTAAAATCGGAGACAATCTGGTACCCTACCACAAGGATTTCAAGTTCTACTTGACCAGCAAACTGCCCAATCCTCATTACACTCCAGAGGTATCAACGAAGGTTACACTCATCAACTTTACCCTGTCACCCAGGTTGGTACCTTGTTCCCTTCTCACTTCTGTCTTGGTGACCTCTACATTGGGGGCTAACAGAAAAATTATTCCTTTTCTTGTGTTTATTTTAGACTAGCAAGTTTGATGGTGAATGAGCAATGCGCAGACAAAAATGTAAATAAGTCTTTCAGTGCCAAATATCTCACCATAGATTTCTTGGTCATTGTCGCATGACAGTCTACACCCACATCTTGTCACCTCTATGTAAATGAGGCACTTTCAAATCTTGGACTTTCCTCTATAGGTAAATAGTCCTTCTTTTGTACTTATGTGTCAAGATGTCAGGTTAAGTACTCAATACAATCCTAATTCTCTTGGGAATTACATATATTTAAATTCAGTTATATAGGTGGGAAATTCATTGATAAGAAAAAAATCAAGATCCCTTTTCAGCCCTTTAGGTGCATCAGGCATATGGGAAAAGCACCCATATTTTTTCAGACTAATCGGTACTAAGTGGGTAATGTGGTCAGCATTACGCTGGCCATCTTCACTTCCCCAGGACTCACATCCTGGTACCCATTTTAGGCTGGGTGGACCTGCAACGCCCCATACTATGATAAAAATCCAAGCAGCCAGCAGTGGGTTTCGATCGCGGTACATTGGAATTACGAGTCGGACTCGCAACGCCTAAGCTTCGGATGTCGCTGATTCATTGATAGTGAAGCTAAATTCCAGTGGACCTAACTACCGCTTTGGACGTGGATAAATCCCTTCCCGCCTCTGGAGAGACGCTTAGTTTGAAATAATTCTTGACCGAGCTTCCAAAGTGAACATACGGCTTGCTGCCTTTTCTGTCTATTTGCTTACCTCCATTTGAATCACTAGTTCAACCCGGAACATCCATGAGCATGGGATGTTATTAATATTTGGAGGTTAAGTCAAAAATCAGTATCCTAGCACTATCCAGTTAGCCCCAGCCAGCTTACAGTATGAGGGATCCTCAGCGAACAACTCCTTCCTGTCCATGCACCATGTCAGTGGCTCCATAGTCGACAACTGTTTGTTGTTCTCCGATGTGAGGGGTTGTCAACAATTGTCACGACCAGAGGGTAATAAAGTAATCTTGAGCTATGATTTTTGACATGGACCCATCTTCCGTGAGATAACATTGACAATTGTTAATGCTTGTGTGTGGTAGAGAAGATAAAGTTCTGATAATTTTATTGACTAGTATATAGGATTCAGGTTGGAATTCTCAAGACTTCATACCTGCACTTCCAGATGTCGGAGGAGGCCTTAACTCAGCTGAATAGGACATCCTGAAAAGATAAGTGGTTTAGGCCAGTACCTGCAGACAACCCTAACATTGTGTGCCAGTTCCCTAGGTCCAAAATTCCAGTTTGGCAGTGATGATTATGGCTTTTGATAGGGACTAACCAGGAGTCCATCTGGAGTAGTATATTCTTTGCTCCCTTAGATGGTTTGATTGATCTTGCTGAATTCTTTTCTTTATATCCAACATGTGTAGCACTGATTACAATATGTTTGTTATTTCACATTCTCAGGTTAGAGTCCATCCTTCACTGTTCTTGAGTTGTCTGGAGTATCTGTTGTATTGTTATACTACATGTTATACTGTGTTAATTTGACTAGCATAGAATTACTATCTAGTCTGGGGGCTTTACAAGTAGTGAGGAAGTTAAAGTTGCGCTTAGGAATGTTTTTTAATTCTGTAGTGCCATAAAGTAGGCTGGATGTTTATTGGAGCTGCAGGATGCCTGCCTAGACCATTGCAAGCCAACATCACAACACTAAAACTACTTCAGAGTTTCTTTTGGTTCATTAGGGAAAACCCTAACAAAGACACGTGATACCAGCAGATACCAGCATTATATGACAGTCATTCCAGACATAATGTCTTCTTTTTTTTTTTTCTGGCATTCAGTTGCTATAAACTCTGGCAGAAAGTTATGGTTGCTCATCCATTTCTAGATTTTGGTCTTGTTTTGGACCTTGAGTGTATTGGGCATATGGTGCTAAACGTATATTTTGTAGACCAGTCGGCATTCAGTGGGTGATGTGGTCAACATGCCCTGGCCATCTTTACTTCCCAGGAAATACCTGGTACCATTTTAAGGCTGGTTTGATCAGGGAGCCAGGGTTGTTTTTAAAATAAGTCTGGCTGTGTTCAGATTTGAAACCACCAACTTCAGATCTGCAGGTGAGGGTATTGCTGCTTTACCATGGTGGCTGCTACAAAATCATCATCATTATCTTGTGTCCTGTCAACTAGCGTAGGCGCTCATGCGTCTCCACAGATCACTATCTCTGGTTGCGTGGAACAGCTCTCTTGATGATATTCCCCCATGCCATTGTTTCAGCCCATCCAGCATCATCTCTCTTGGTCTGCCTCTACCCCTTTTTCCACTGATCTTTCCAGTTGTCACAATGCTCTCCAGTGTCTCTTTTCTGATTATGTGGCCAAAGAACAGTGTTTGTCTCTTTCTTATTGTTGTATATAGAGATCTACTTTCATTAGCTTCTTTTAAGCAATCGTTGTTAGTTACTCTGGCCATTCAAGGTATTCGTGACATTCATCTCAGAAACCACATCTCTGTTGCTTCCAAATTCTTCCTAATTTGTTCACTGACATTCCAAGATTCACTGCCATACAGCAGAACAGGTTCTATGTAACATTTTAGCACCCTCTTTCTGACATTAAATGAGAGCGACATTAAATGAGAGAGACATTAAATGAGAGAGACATTAAATGACAGAGACATTAAATGACAGAGACATTAAATGACAGAGACATTAAATGACAGAGACATTAAATGACAGAGACATTAAATGACAGAGACATTAAATGACAGAGACATTAAATGACAGAGACATTAAATGACAGATTCATTAAATGACAGAGACATTAAATGAGAGAGACATTAAATGAGAGAGACATTAAATGAGAGAGACATTAAATGAGAGCGACATTAAATGAGAGCGACATAAAATGAGAGCGACATAAAATGAGAGAGACATTTAATGAGAGAGACATTAAAAGAGAGAGACATTAAATGAGAGAGACATTAAATGAGAGTGACATTAAATGAGAGAGACATTAAATGAGAGAGACATTAAATGAGAGAGACATTAAATGAGAGCGACATTGAATGAGAGCGACATATAAATGAGAGGGACATTAAATGAGAGAGACATTAAATGAGAGAGACATTGAATGAGAGAGACATTGAATGAGAGCGACGTTAAATGAGAGCGACATTAAATGAGAGCGACATTAAATGAGAGCGACATTAAATGAGTGCTGCAAAATAAAAGGTTACAATTATGACATTTATTCTCTTATTGACTTTTGTTCATCAGTGCAATTAAACCTCCGTGATTTAAAACCAACTTTCTGACTTCTTGATTTTTAACATGTCTTTGTTTTAAACATTCCCAGTCTTGACTCATCTTTCATAAAGATATTACACGTTGTTTATGGGACACTGTTACAGTGGACTCCAGGATCAGCTGTTGGGGATTGTTGTGGCAGAAGAACGCCCAGATTTGGAGGACTCCAAGAATCAGCTGATCATTAGCAATGCTCAAATGAAGGTGAACTGAAAGAAATTGAAGATAAAATTCTGTACTTGCTGAGTGCTTCTCAAGGCAGTCCAGTCGATGATATTGAGCTGATTGAGACACTAGATGCCTCCAAAGTCACGGCTCAAGAGATACAGGTCAGCTTTTGTGACATTTCTGAATCCAGTCATAATACAGTTTAACATGAACATCTTGAAGTAGCTAGTGAGAGACAAAGAAATGTTAGAAAGTACATTTATTTTTTAATGATCCTATGAAACTTGATAAAATATTTTATTTGTAAACGGTATCACAAATTTGATAAATCAGATAAAACTGTAAATTGACTAGTTTATTATTAAATCCTGGCACAAGATGATATTAGATTCCTGTAAAACTTAAAAAAAACTTCTTACTAACAAATCATGATAATAGATGGTAGTAGATTTGTTAAAACTGTAGAAGACTAGTTTGGAAAGCTAAAATGAGTAACTAAAATAAAAAAAAGTACATTACATTGCCAAGTTGTTTGTGTTGCATTAACAATTATTTGTAAGCCTAAAGTTCCATAGAATAATAAACAAAAATAATCTAACCCTGTTGTCCTAAGAAGGGTAAATCTAGTAACTTCTGGTTGTGATGCCAGCATATCACGATTTCGGTAGTGACTTGTTCTTGAAAAACAGTTTAAATGCTATTGGTTCTTTGTGCACATGCATAGTATTTAGAAGGCCTGCATGTGAATATATCAACTAAAAAGAACATTTGCAGAGGTTTCCTTGTAAATCCTATTGCTTTTTTAAAAGCCAGGTTAACTTAAAATTCCCAAAAGCCTCACTGATAGAGATCAAGGGGTTATGGCATGAGTCACCTGATATATATCTTTTTTAGGCCCCAGGTAGTTGCATTTCATTTAATGCTTCACTCTGTTCTCATTTATGGATTACTGCTTTTATATATCTTTATATATTTTGAAACAATAATTTTAAATAAAAATGTTGATAAAATATAGAAGTTTGTAAAACAATTTATTAGTTACCTGTTTAAAATTAATATTTTTTTCCCTAACGTTTTTAGAAATTCCCACAAGCTTGTCACCCATTTTTGTTGCATTTGCTGGACGAAAGGGCATGAATAACACCAGCAAAGAGTGCACAGAATTATTTGCTGTTGACAGCTCATGTGGCGGACTTCTCCACAGTATACATGCCATAATCATAATACTATACACCTCTTCATGCTGGTGACCAATTAGACACATAGTGCTAGACCTGTCTTTTTTAACCAATCATGCCAGTACTGTGTCTTTATCAACTAATCATGCCAGACCTGTGTCTTTATCAACCAATCATGTCAGACCTGAGTCTTTTTCAACCAATCATGCCAGACCCGTGTCTTTATCAACTAATCATGCCAGACCTGTGTCTTTATCAACCAATCATGTCAGATCTGAGTCTTTTTCAACCAATCATGCCAGAAATATATCTTTATCAACCAATCATGCCAGACCTGTGTCTTTATCAACCAATCATGCCAGACCTGTGTCTTTATCAACCAATCATGCCAGAACTGTGTCTTTATCAACTAATCATGCCAGACCTGTGTCTTTATCAACCAATCATGCCAGACCCGTGTCTTTATCAACCAATCATGCCAGACCTGTGTCTTTATCAACTAATCATGCCAGACCTGTGTCTTTATCAACTAATCATGCCAGAAATATATCTTTATCAACTAATCATGCCAGAAATATATCTTTATCAACCAATCATGACAGTACTGTGTCTTACTAAAATCAATCATGCCAGACCTGTGTCTTTATCAACCAATCATGCCAGAAATATATCTTTATCAACCAATCATGCCAGAAATATATCTTTATCAACCAATCATGCCAGAAATATATCTTTATCAACCAATCATGCCAGAAATATATCTTTATCAACCAATCATGACAGTACTGTGTCTTTATCAACCAATCATGCCAGATTTGTGTCTTTATCAACCAATCATGCCATAAATATATCTTTATCAACCAATCATGACAGTACTGTGTCTTTATCAACCAATCATGCCAGATCTGTGTCTTTATCAACCAATCATGCCAGAAATATATCTTTATCAACCAATCATGACAGTACTGTGTCTTTATCAACCAATCATGCCAGACCTGTGTCTTTATCAACCAATCATGCCAGATCTGTGTCTTTATCAACCAATCATGCCAGATCTGTGTCTTTATCAACCAATCATGCCAGAACTATATCTTTATCAACCAGTCATGCCAGACCTATGTCTCTATCAACCAATAATGCCAGACCTATGTCTATATTAACCAATCATGCCAGACCTATGTCTTTATCAACCAATCATGCCAGACCTGTGTATTTATCAACCAATCAGGCCAGACCTGTGTCTTTATCAACCAAGAAACCAAGAAATATATCTTTATCAACCAATCATGCCAGAAATATATCTTTATCAACCAATCATGACAGTACTGTGTCTTTATCAATCAATCATGCCAGACCTGTGTCTTTATCAATCAATCATGCCAGACCTGTGTCTTTATCAACCAATCATGACAGAACTGTGTCTTTATCAATCAATCATGCCAGACCTGTGTCTTTATCAACCAATCATGTCAGAACTGTGTCTTTATCAACCAATCATGCCAGAACTGTGTCTTTATCAACCAATCATGCCAGACCTGTGTCTTTATCAACCAATCATGCCAGACCTGTGTCTTTATCAACCAATCATGCCAGTACTGTGTCTTTATCAACCAATCATGTCAGAAATATATCTTTATCAACCAATCATGTCAGACCTGTGTCTTTGTCAACCAATCATGTCAGAAATATATCTTTATCAGCCAATCATGTCAGACCTGTGTCTTTATCAACCAATCATGCCAGAAATATATCTTTATCAACCAATCATGTCAGAAATATATCTTTATCAACCAATCATGTCAGAAATATATCTTTATCAACCAATCATGTCAGACCTGTGTCTTTATCAACTAATCATGCCAGAAATATATCTTTATCAACCAATCATGACAGTACTGTGTCTTTATCAACCAATCATGCCAGATCTGTGTCTTTATCAACCAATCATGCCAGAAATATATCTTTATCAACCAATCATGACAGTACTGTGTCTTTATCAACCAATCATGCCAGACCAGTGTCTTTATCAACCAATCATGCCAGATCTTTGTCTTTATCAACCAATCATGCCAGAACTATATCTTTATCAACCAGTCATGCCAGACCTATGTCTCTATCAACCAATAATGCCAGACCTATGTCTATATCAACCAATCATGCCAGACCTATGTCTTTATCAACCAATCATGCCAGACCTGTGTCTTTATCAACCAATCAGGCCAGACCTGTGTCTTTATCAACCAATCATGTCAGACCTGTGTCTTTATCAACCAATCATGTCAGACCTATGTCTTTATCAACCAATCATGCCAGACCTGTGTCTTTTTCAACCAATCATGCCAGACCTGTGTCTTTATCAACCAATCATGTCAGACCTGTGTCTTTATCAACCAATCATGCCAGACATGTGTCTTTATCAACCAATCATGCCAGACCTATGTCTTTATCAACCAATCATGCCAGAAATATATCTTTATCAACCAATCATGCTAGAAATATATCTTTATCAACCAATCATGCCTGACCTATGTCTTTATCAACCAATCATGCCAGACCTATGTCTTTATCTACCAGTCAGCACTTGATGGGTGATGTGGTCAACATCATACCAACCACCTTTACTACCCAGGACATTACCTGGTACCCATTTTGGGTTGGGTCAATCTGGAAGCCAAGATCAATTATGAAACATAAAATCATCTACCATGTGGATTTGAATCCTAGACCTTTGGGCCAGAAGGTGAGCGTCTAGATACTGCGGCTCTCAAGAGAATACAAGAATCAAGTAATATCTGTGAATCAGAGTTCTTGTCTGTAATGCAAGAATAGGGTAAAGTCAAAAAGGGTATAGCCAGACAAGAATGCTGTGCCAAGGTGCCAAGGGGGTATAGTAAAGCAACGCAGAACTGATTTCCTAAGCCTGAATACACCGAGATCTGAGTGTATATATTCCTAATGGTTCATTGTGCAGTGAGGATGTTCTATTGACTGACTAGCTATCCTGGTTATGGGAATATTTCTCTTCACTTCCTTTTATACAGCTTTGGGCTTCGAGGAAGATATAAGCTCCTGCATCTTGCTCTTCTGATTGTGTTGACCATAGACATATCATACTGTTGTAGAATTTCTCGGATGTTGTGTTTCCATCTTGTTCTTCTGGATGTGTTGACCATACACATATCATACTGTTGTAGAATTTCTCAGATGTAATGTTTCCTTCATGTTCTTCTGGCTGTGTTGACCATAGACATATCATACTGTTGTAGAATTTTTCGGATGTTATGTTTCCATCTTGTTCTTCTGGCTGTGTTGACCATAGTCACATCATACTGTTGTAGAATTTCTCGGATGTTATGTTTCCATCTTGTTCTTCTGGCTGTGTTGACCATAGTCACATTATACTGTTGAAGAATTTCTTGGATGTTATGTTTCCATCTTGTTCTTACTTAGGCTTCCGTAGAAGCAGGCTGAATGTAGAAAATATTTTTATATTTGTAAGTGTAAATAAATGATTAAACTAATCTTGTTCTTGGTCTGTCTTATCTTCTACATTCCTCTCTTTCTGGTTATGAAAATGATTTTCTATAAATTTTCACAATCTTGTTCTTGATCTATCTTTCTAACCTATGTTTTATGTCTGCTTCCTCTAGCTATTATATATGATTTCGTTTAATTATTCTGGTCATCCAGGCAAAGGTCAAAGCCTCTGAAGTGACAGAAAAGATCATTGATGAGACCAGAAGCCAGTACATCCCTGTTGCAATCAATTCACAAATCCTGTTCTTCTGTGTGGCTGACATGGCCAAGATAGACCCCATGTACCAGTACTCCTTAGAGTGGTTTGTCACCATCTTCCTGAGCTCTATAGCGCAGGCAGAGAGGGCAGGTAAGCAACTTTACTGCAAACAGGTCACTCCTACACCAGGGAAAATCACACATAAATGCTTGTCACTGTATCATTTGAAAACTAGTTTGGCTAGTATTTGTTTCCGATGGTCACATATATGTCAAAGATGCAACTGGTCACACACATGTCAGACATTCAACTGGCTATAAGGACATGTGATTTCTATCAGAGATACTTCAGTTAAGTAATTTTGTGTATTCTTGTTCATATTTGTGGTGACGTTATATTCATTCAGTAATCTGGTAATCCTAGTTTCAGCTTCATAGCAAACTATTCATTCAGTGTGTTGATAAGGGCTGTCTAGTCGCTGTGTTCATGTGTCATTTGTAAAGTAAAAAGTAAAAAAAAAAAGAGTAAAGGACCCTTTTCATCACCTTTAAGCATATAGGGCTAGACATATATTTTTATAGACCAATCCGCACAAGATGGGTGATGTGGTCAGCATCACACCGGCCTCCTTTACTTCCCGGGACTGCATCCTGTACCCCCTCAAGGCTGGGTCGACCTGGGAGCCAAGGTCATTTTTGAAAATATGAAAATAGTCTGGCTCCACCAGGGAGCGAACCCACGACCTTCCGATCCGAGGCGAGCGTCTAGCCGCTCTGCCACGGCATCTCCCACATGTCATTTGTCATTGTGATATTGATCCTTTAAATATTATCTTCTGGGTATGTCGATGTGTTAGGAAATGAGCAGGCAGATAGACTAGCTGGTTCCGCACCACTTGGTGGTGAACTGCTATATGACAAGCTGATAGTTGTGAAAGCTGTTTATGAGTGAGTAAACCGTGCCGAGGAACAGATTGATCATTACTATCTGAGGAAAATGGCACTATGAGGAGTTACAAGGGGATCTGGCTGAGGCTCGACATTCAGTGGAATCCCGAGACGAATATACAATCAGACAGTTACTGGTACCATCGAAATATTAACTCTTTGCTTGCTGCTGAAGATGAGGACGGAGCACTTATGGGGGATGTCCCGAGTTCTGTGATGTCGATTCCTTATTCAACATGTGATATTATGAAGCTGCATGCCTCTGCTTTTCGTTTGGCTTGATATCTTTTCATGAAATTTGAAAACTAGTTAAACCAACAATTAGTCCTGCGAAATTCAGGAGTGTGCACGCACAGTGAAAATTTGAGGTAGCCTCTAGAGGTGCCAACACCAACAGTCTACCGCTATAATTCCATTGTATATGTGGTTACAGAGTGGGGGATTATGTTGCTGCTGTGGTAGTGGCTAGAATGTAAACACAAAGGATGGTATGTTACCTTTATAGTTATATGGCCACAGTTCTGAAACTTCATTTACTTAAGATGACAAATTGTTGCTATAGAAATAAAGTTATGATTTCCTGTAATGAGAGAGCTAAAGAAGCAGAGTGGATTACATAAACAAATATGTGAAAAAGAAAGTTAAGTAATAAATATGATGTATAATTAAACTGTAGCAACTGCCTGTAACAGTATTAATATAGTATTACATTGTCTTAGTTCTTTCTTTCTTTCTTTCTTTCTTTCTTTCTTTCTTTCTTTCTTTCTTTCTTTCTTTCTTTCTTTCTTTCTTTCTTTCTTTCTTTCTTTCTTTCTTTCTTTCTTTCTTTCTTTCTTTCTTTCTTTCTTTCTTTCTTTCTTTCTTTCTTTCTTTCTTTCTTTCTTTCTTTCTTTCTTTTTCTTTCTTTCTTTCTTTCTTCTTTCTTTCTTTCTTTTCTTTCTTTCTTTCATTTCCACCTTTCTTTCTTTCTTTCTTCCTTTCTTTATTTCCACGTTTTCTTTCTTTCTTTCTTTTTCTTCTTTCTTTCTTTCTTTCTTTCTTTCTTTCTTTTCTTTCTTTCTTTTCTCTTTCTTTTTCTTTCTTTCTTTCTTTCTTTCTTTCTTTCTTTATTTCTTTCTTTCTTTCTGTCTTTCTTTCCACCTTTCTTTCTTTCTTTCTTTCTTTCTTTCTTTCTTTCTTTCTTTCTTTCTTTCTTTCTTTTTCTTTCTTTCTTTCTTTCTTTCTTTCTTTCTTTCTTTCTTTCTTTCTTTTCTTTCTTTTTTCTTATTTTCTTTTTCTTTCTTTTCTTTCTTTCTTTCTTTCTTTTTTTTCCACCTTTCTTTCTTTCTTTCTTTCTTTCTTTCTTTCTTTCTTGTCTTTCTTTCTTTCTTTCTTTCTTTCTTTCTTTCTTTTCTTTCTTTCTTTCTTTTTATTTTATTATTTCTTTCTTTCTTTCTTTCTTTCTTTCTTTCTTTCTTCTTTCTTTTCTTTCTTTCTTTCTTCTTATTTCTTTCTTTCTTTCTTCTTCTTTCTTTCTTTCTTTCTTTTCTTTCTTTCTTTCTTTCTTTCTTTCTTTCTTTTTTTCTCACCTTTCTTTCTACCTTTCTTTCTTTTTTCTCACCTTTCTTTCTACCTTTCTTTCTTTTTCCTCGCCTTTCTTTCTTTCCATTTTTCTTTTTTTCTGTCTTTCCATGTTTCTTTCTCCTTCCTTCCTTCTTTTATTCCTTTCTTTATTTCTGCCTTTCTCCCTTTCTCTTGCTTCCTTACTTTTTTTGTCCTCTTCCTTTATTCTTCCTTTCTTCTTTCTTCTTCTCTTTATCTCCTCATTGGAGCACAGGTCTTTGTTTAACTAGTTCTTGTCCAGTAGTCCTATCTCAAATTCTTGTGTCTATATTTTCACTCTCCTCCTATTTTACAATAGAGACTAGGTCACAATCTTTCAATTACATTTCTTTAAAAAAAAAAATGGCCTAAATTAATGGCTTTATCTTATGTGAAGTATATTATGCCTTATGAAAATATATCTTTCTCCCTTTGCTCATTAACAGAAAGCCTGACTGAAAGAGTGTCTCACATCAATGAAGCCTTCACATATAATTTATTTGTCAATGTGTGCCGCAGTTTGTTTGAAAAGCACAGGCTTCTCTTTGGTTTACTCATGTGTGTTCGTAAAGAGATGGAGAAAGGAACAATTGATATGGTGAGGGCAACTCTTCAAGTTCATCTATTGAATTACACATTCACCAAAATGTTTCAATAGTAAGATAAAATTAGAAAGTATGTAGGACCCTTTTTAGGATGTATTAATGAAGTAACAGAAAATTTATTGATTGGCACTCATAGAAAGAAGTAGAAAGAAGAATATGCTTTTTATGCTAGTGAGGGCGCACCTTGGTGTAGAGGCTAGACACTTGCCTGTGGATCCGAAGGTCATGGGTTTAAATCCGACTAAAGTCAGACTTTTTCAGAAATGACTTTGGCTCCCAAGTCGATCCAGCTTTAGTGGATACCAGATAAAGTCCTGGGAAATAAAGACAGCCGGTGTGACATTGACCACAACACTCTCCCATTGGCTTAAAAAAATCCAAGCTGGATTTATCAGACAAGAATAGATTGCAAAACTAAACACTTCACAAATAGCTGCCCTAACCTTTCTCTTTGTGCCAGGTCATGCGAATGTTCAAGGGAACGAGCGTGCTATGGCTGGTCCGGTACCGGACAGAAGTGATGTTATCAATGCCATGCACTGCACTTACCGTACCGAGGAGCACGCCAAAGGACATAACTCTGTGGCCCTATCTATACTAATGGGGTGCAGCCTGGAGCTACAAGAAATGAATATTTCACTAAGGAGACAAGACGTTTAATTAACCAACAGAACAGGCATCATCGGTCATTTTACACTTGTGGAGCTTTTGAGGAGGAGATTGGAGCACCTATGGATCTGTCCTGAGTGTTGTGATGATAATCCTTTCTAATCACTAATCACTAAACACTCTTTAATTGCTGATTGATCTTTAATATATAGGTCTAAAGCTGTTTGCCTGAGGGTATGGAAAAGGATATTTTACTTTATGCCAGTTTCACATCCGACTTATGATACTAGACTCATATTTTGTATAGACCAGTTGGTTCTCAGCGGGTGACAGAAGCCGCTTTTACTTCTTGGGTCATTACCTGCCACCCATTTTTGGGCATGAATCAATCTGGGAGCCAAGGTCAGTTTATAAAAACAGTGAATTGGATCTACGTGTGAGCCCACGTGTGTTAGTAGGCTGACTTTTATTCAAAGTAAAACGTTAGAGTAACCTTCCCTGAATACTTTCATGGTAATTCCGAACAATAGAAACGAATATGAAGCCGTGTGCACAGCAGTATGTAGGGGACACACAATTGCTGACAGTGTTGTTTGGGCAAATCGGAACTTCTGAATCAACACTGACAGCGTTGCTCTGGCCTTAAAGAGTTAAAACCTTTCAAAATTCATGTTTTTGTTTAAAGTTTGAAAATCAACAGGCATGACATATTTTCTTTTTTTGTCAGTACTTTTCCCTTAATCACCGAAAGTTCCCCATCACCATGTTCCTTAAGGAATTGACATTAGTCTGCCCAAATGTTTTTCTGCTCCAATGTTATGACGGGGCAGACCAGGTCCTTAACGTTGGTTGCCAGCTGGTCTAGGAGGAAAACGCCAACAAGCAGACAGCATGCACAAACAGGCAAACAGACAGAGAAATTTCTGGCAGCTTCTGCAGCATGCTTTGAGAGATGGGCTGCAATAAAGCTAAGAACGGTAAAGACAATTCAAAACAAATTTATGGCTTTCAGAAATTCTGTCAAAGCTGACAAAATATGTTTCTTAAAAGGAAAGAGTTGATAAAAAAGAAAATATGAAGTACGAAAAGCACAATCAAGATATCTTAAGGCAAATTGGGATATAGTGAGAGTTTGTGACATGCTTGAGACGAATCCAGTCAAAATTCTTTATGCATACTGTTAGTAGGGCAAAGGAAGTGTGCCGTGACAATAGGAAGTTTGGAGGGGAAGAAAGGCTGAGGGAGTCCAGACTTTCTCCCGATTGGCATATAAAATATAGGTCTACCACTGTATGGCATAAATACATAATGGTGAGGAATGGAGTCCTCGACTTACTTTAATAAATAATTACACGATATCTAAAATAACAAATATATACTCTGATAACTCAGTGAACATTATACTTCCCAGTTATAACCTTGAGGGTTGAACAGGATATTTTTGTACAGTTTTACTAATGGCAGCCACCGTGGTGTAGCAGCTAGATGCTCACCTGCAGATCTGAAGGTCGTGGGTTCAGATCTTGATAAAAGCCAGACTTTTTTTGTTAAATGTCTTTGGCTCCTAGTTGATTTAGCCCTAAATGGGCACCAGTTAAAGTCATGGAAAGTAAAGGTGGCCGGCATGTTGTTGACCATATCCCCCGCCAAATGCTTATTGGTCTATTAACATAGACCTAGTCTTACATGGCCCAGTATGTCTGAAAACATGGGAAAGTTTGACTCCCAGGTGGACCCAGCCTTGAGTGGGTTCCGGGTGCAGTCCCGGGAAGTAAAGGAAACTGGCATAATGCTGACCACATCACCCATCTCGTGCTGATTGGTCTATAAAAATATAGGTCCAGCCCTTTGTGCCCTATACGTTTAAAAGCGTGGAAAAGGGTTCTTTCCTTTTTTTTTTTAACTTTTAACTTTTTATGATCAACAAGTCTTAGCTAATTGATAACCACTAGTTTAACTATTCAATGTTAATAATAAGTATTACCTGTTATCCTGTCTAGAATGAATGGCGCTGGCTGATAGCAGGCGGTACTCACATTCCCAAGGAGCTGCCGAACCCGGCACCAGACTGGTTGTCCGTGCGATCTTGGAATGACATCCTCACCGTGGCTGCACTGCCTGCCTTTAGCGAGTTTGCAGAAGACTTTCCGAATCACCTTGAATTCTTTCAGGCGATGTTTGATAGCTCTGATCCTCAGGAGTAAGTTGTGTTGTGGGAAATCTTCCCTTTGTGTTAAATGAATGAAGTTCAACCCCACCAGGAGCGCATAACGAATGATAAACATCTGATGACACAAAATGCCACCATTCGGATGAGAATCGCATGGGCAAAAGTCCCAGAAAATCCATTCAACCATTAGGTTATATTAGGGCCTCTGACAGCAGCCGGAGTGGGGCTTTAAAATAATGAAAAAGTGTGTCCCATTTTGGGATAGCTTATGTAATCCGCCCTTTGTGGGTTCTGGGCTCTATTTTATTGAGGATCGAAAAAATCTACAGCCCATTAACAAGCATGTTATTCAAGGCTGCTAACTGATGATTTGCTTAGAATGTGTGTAGATATTGTAAGTAAAAAGTAAAGTAAAAGACCCTTTTCCACCCCATCAGGCATATAGGGGTAGACCTATATTTTTAGAGACCAATTGGCACAAGATGGGTGATGTGGCCAGCATCATGCCGGCTGCCTTTACTTCCCAGGACTGCACCCGGTACCCACTCAAGGCTGGGTCAACCTGGGAGCCAAGGTCATTTTTTTAAAAAGTCCGGCTTCGCTAGGAAGCGAACCCACGACCTTCCAATCCGCGACGAGCATCTGGCCGCTTGGCCACAGTGAGATATTGTAGCCTAACTGTAAACCACAACACAACTGCCAACTGCTCTTTAAGGAAAAATACAGAAGAAATCATTTCACCAGAGGTCAGCCTGATGGCATTAACTTTGAATCTCCATTGAGATTGATCTATTCTGCTTTGCATTCACTGGCTGTAAATTCTGGCGAGGAAAGTCCTCTTTGTTTGCCCATTTGGACTTTGACCTTGTAGCAGGACCTGAGTTTTGCATGAACACTCAGATGTGCTTTGACTTCAAAGAAAGAAATTGATCCTGTCTCTATGATGACTAAGGCCATTGTTTTGTGAGACATGATATTGCCTTATTTGTGCGGTGTCCTCTTTGTCCATTTATCTACATCTGTTGCCCCCAAAGAACCCCTTTAGGTCAAACATGTGTAGACTGATCAGCCATCAGGGGAAGGCAGGGGCAGATCATGGGCATTCCATGCCATCCAAGATGGCTTCCATAAATGCAGAGCTGACACATGATGCTCTGGTTCTGGGCTCATCCAAGGAATCGTCACGTGCAGCTCATAACTGCTTAACATCACAACCATGTGTTGCAGGGAGCAGCCCGCTGGTCCAGAACTTTGATAACCACACAAATAGGTACATTCTTCTTAATCACATTAGACACCTTCAACGTTATTTTAACTGAGCGCTTTATCGTGGCAGTATGGAGAGGTATGCCTCAGGTGTGGTTTCACCTGTTTGTGGTTTCACTCGGACGAGGGGGTCAATAGATAAAGATGTTTGAACCTTTCTGCCAGTCAGTAGGATTTAGGACAGTCGGACTTTGACTTTGTTTGTGTGCCATGAGACGTGTATATTGAAGGTTGACAGGATGTACAGAGACGGGATTTTACAGTGAGAAACCGCCCACAGGAGATGTTGCTTGTCCAAGCTGCGGGCTAATCTCTTGGTCTAAGGCTGAGTCTAAGCAGCTCAGTTGTTCTTTCACTCCACAGACTTTTAACTGAGAGTTGTTTTTTAGTAGTACATTAGGCAAGAGAAATTTTACTGATGCTCCAACTGAGTTTTGATTAGACATTTTGACACCCTTGCATTGGGAGTGGGCTGATAAGACCCTGCCTCTCTGGAGGCCACCAGATCCGAGATCCCCTCCCAGCTCTATTATTGCTCATTTGAGACCTTATCCTTTGATGCACAATAGGGGCATGCAGCAGGTGTCTTGCATGCAGTTCCGTAAAACCAGCATAGGAAAAGACTGTCACCCAAGGTGGGGTAGGGAGCATATCCTTATGCATATCACATTAGACTTCACTTTCCCATCTCACTAATGACAGAAATCACTGTGACACGATGGATCCCTTAACAATGATTACTGTTTCGAGGCTGACCTAGCCTGAAATGGGAACTAGAAAACACATTGAGAAGTAAAGGGGGCTAGCCTGATATTGATCACCTCACCCAATTAATGCCGACTGGTCAGAATAAATATATGGTTTACCATTAAATCTATACAAAAATGTGGTTTTGCTATCTTTATACAGGATTTTCTATATTTAATTTTATATTTTTTTACTGAATAACCGGACGCTGTCGCCATCCTTTCTATCGAGTGTTTTGTTAGCCCTAAAAAGGCTCCGTCTGGCCACTTCCAGCTGTAACACAGCCCCATAAATGCTATATAACCATTTCTGCAGTGATCTATTCTCAGAATGTGTAGTTAAATGCCATTGGTTTTTTCTTTGAGCACCTGTTTGGTGTTTAGGAGGCCAGGATATGAATATATTAACTAAATATATCATTTAGAGGGGTTTCTTTGCAAATCCAGTAGCTTTTTTTTAAAGCTATGTTGACTTATGATTTTTCCATAAGCCTCAGTGATAGAGATCACTGGGTCACAGCATGAGTCATCAGATACATACATATTCTTTGTAGGCCCTGGGAATGCATTCCATTTGCTGCTTCACTCTGTTCTTGTTTGTTAGTTATTTTCATTATATATCTTTGTGTATTTTTAAACATAAAGTGATTATATTAGATTAGATTAGATTAGATTAGATTAGATTAGATTAGATTAGATTAGATTAGATTAGATTAATAAATTGTTTACTGTTGATTAAAACAGTTTTTTCCTTAAAGATTGTTTTCAGAAATTCCCAAAGGTTCATGAACTTTTTTTTAAAAAGTATTTGTGGGGCAAAAAAGTTTTATTCACACTCAGAGCAATCTTGCATTAATTCTTTAAGTAATTTATGAGTTCATTTTCAGGTTTCAACCTATTTACTTCTATTTTTTTCCTTCTTTATTCAGTATGACTCTTCCAGGAAAGTGGGCAGAAAAGCTGGATGAATTTCAGTTCATTTTGGTTCTGAAGGCGCTTCGTCCTGACAAAGTCACCAATGCTATGCAGATACTGGTGGCCAACAAGCTAGGGCAGAAGTTTATAGAGCCTCAGACGACCGATCTGGCATTTGTCTTTAAAGATTCATCCACAACTTGTCCACTGGTGTTTGTGCTGTCTACGGGGACAGACCCGGCCGGCTCTCTCTACCAGTTTGCAGAGACCATGAGGTTTTCAAAAAGGCTGAATGCAATTTCTCTAGGACAAGGCCAGGTAAGGAGTTCACAATGTGATGATTTAGTAGATTGGAGGTACTCTCCCCATATTGGTTCCGGGGCCCAATTATCGGGTTGGAGGAGGGGGGAGGGGGGGGGGAGAATAGACCCGCTGCTCCCTAACAAGTGCAAACCCACTGCCCCACTGAAAACTGTATTGTAAAAGCAAACTAATTATGGGTGTTTCCTTCATAGTCCGAGTTCATCTGCCTGAGGGGCAAGGAACCAACAGTCTGCATACAAGTAAGCCCAGTCTGTAAAAAACAACAACAAAAACGGACCTGCACGCAAAACTATGGTTCTGGAACAAGACCAAAGTCCAGAAGTGGATAAAAAACCAGAATTTTGTCCACCTGAATTTACAGCTGGTGAACACAGAAGAAGAAGAAAAAGAGGAGGTACTTGAATCTTTGAGGACCACATGCTTGCGTGTCAGCCTGTAAAACCAAGATCGACCCATCTAAAGGTTTCTTAGAAAGGTTCTTTCCTCTTTAAGTCCTAAACGACGACTGAGGTGTGAATCACTCAGTCTGCTGAATCCCCTCCCTAGCTAAATATGCTCTCTTACTTTTTTTATTTGATAACATACTCAAAAAAATCTGGCTTGTCCAGTAATCACTACTACTGTTATATTGCCACTCTAAAATTATTGTGTTTATGAAATTTAATCATAAATATTTCCTAATTGACATCTCCTGTGTAACCTTCTTCTGGTTAGAAAGCATTAGTAGATGCACCCCACCCCAAAAGGATGTGGAGATGTGAGTGAAGAGGAGTTAGTTTCACTGGGGTATGGAGTGGAGGGTACACACAAGGTTGGTCTCCCCACGCCTTACCCATCTACACACTAGCTCACTTATGATTGGTAGTTCCTCAACATATCACCTTGACACAAGGTTACAGAGGTGTTCCACAATGCCGTTGATATCGCGTGTTGTATATTTCAGCACACCAGCGCTCTTAACACTCCAAAAACTTGGAAGAAACTGGCCCTAACACAACCCAACTAGAGAGTGCTGTGACCTATGTCATAGGCATTCTCTTTCTCAGAATAAAAACTTAAATGCAAGACAACACAGAAAGCAAAAAAACAGAGCGGGACACACCCGAAACCTTCAGGAAAGTCGGCCAGCCCAACAAACTTGTGAATGAAAAGTGACCTACTCTATTTGGGGAGATTAATGTTACTTGAACCAAGGGGAGAATACAGAGAAGAAGAGAAGGAAGGAGAAGTGTGAGATTATTACTATTGTGCTGATTTACTGCACCCTGCATTTGACACTTAACAGGGTCCCAGAGCAGAGGGTCTAATGAGGCTGGCAATGGACAAAGGAGGTTGGGTATTTTTCCAGAACTGTCATTTAGCCCCCAGTTGGATGCCGACACTAGAGAGACTGGTGGAGACAATTGACCCAGAAACTGTAAGTCCACCACAATCATCATAAAGTGTGTCAGCCTTTGTTCTTCCAAATACAGTTTTTTAGTTGAATAGAGTGAGTTAAAAGTGTAAAGATGTCTTGAAAGAAATTAACTCCTGGCAAGAACTTTTAAAAAAAAACTGTCATTGCTGTGCTTTTGACTGCTTTTTAGTATGGTGTATGGAGGGAGGGTGGTCGTAAAACATAGGAGTTATGACAGCATAGAGAAAAACTGAACGGGACGAAAAGGGAGGGAGGGGGGCCTGCGTGGTCTCAAGGTATGGTGTCCACCTCATGTGCTAGAGGTCCTGGGTTCTGGCCCCATAAGGCCTTGGATTTCTTTTTTGTTTTTTAACATGGACTTCTAGTAAATTCCCTGGGTTTATAGATAGTGAGATTGGATGCCAGTGTATATTGTTGCGCACATTCAAAATTCCTTGGCAGTTGAAAATGGAAAAGAGTAGCCTAACGGCGCTGCCCGGGCACAATTTGAAAAATCTGCCCAGAATATTTCAGGATCCTCGCCGGTGCTACGGAGCCCGTGTACTGGGCCGAGCTACTTCGGACTCAGTTTTAAGTTAGAAGTAGAAAAGAGCACTTATGGGTTACTAACCGTGTGTCATGATGCTGATCGGTTGTTCACACCTCAGCAGAGAGAAAAAATTGTATCTACATGAGAAGGTCTTCATTATTTAGGTACTGAGAAGTGGAAAACTGGAGTACATTGTGACAACACAGAGAGAACTGATTGTATCTACATGAGAATGTCTTCATTATTTAGGTACTGAGAAGTGGAAAACTGGAGTACATTGTGACAACACAGAGAGAACTGATTGTATCTACATGAGAAGGTCTTCATTAATTAACTGAGAAGTGGAAAACTGGAGTACATTGTGACAAACAGAGAGAAAGCTGAGAAGGTCTTCATTATTTAGGTACTGAGAAGGAAAGTAAGTGCAGAGGAAATGATTGTATCTACATGAGAAGGTCTTCATTATTTAGGTACTGAGAAGTGGAAAACTGGAGTACATTGTGACAACACAGAGAGAACTGATTATATGCATTAAAATGAGACAGTCTACATTTTTCAAACAGTGTGAAAAAGAAAACTGGAGTACATTGTGACAACAGGAAAGCTGGAGAGGAAAAAGTGTAGAGGTAGACCAAGAGAGGTGATGTTGGACAGCTTGGCATCCATAATAATAGACACTAATCAGAAAGACATTCCCCATAAATATCACTTTTTCTTCCTGTTTATAATAATGTGTTTACAACATGGTTGGTTAAGGTCTTCGGCTGTTTTTCGGGCCCATGCAAACATTTAGGTGGTTAGGATATCAAGACATTAACTAAAAATAATATTTAGGGGACGTCAAATTTAATGTAAGCCTCACTGATAGAGGTCATAAGGTCCTGACATGAGTCACCTGATACATTGTTTTTTAAGGCCCCAGGGAATGTATTCCATTTAATACTTTGCCATGTTTGTGTTGACTGATGACTTCCTTCATATATCTTTATATATTTTAAAGAAAAAATAGTTTATGTAGATAAATAAATTGTTAACAAATAAATTATATATCTTTAATTTCTACTTTCGCTATTAAACGAGGAGGAACAGTTTCTAATTCCAGGCTTGATGGGCAGCCGTGGCTATTGTTATTTCATGTCGATGTGGAAGGTCTTTAAAATGAAACAGTCCGTCTTCTAGAGCGACCTCTTTCTTTCGGATCAGATCTTTTCATTTGCAGCCCCTATGTTGGTAATTATGGCTGCATTCTAATTTGTTAACCAAACCATTTGATCTGTTTCTCAGTAAATTTATTGTTGTTTTTTCCAGTTGATCTTATAGTATCATTTCTGACTTTGTCTTGGATGGGTAAGTTCTTCAGTTTGTCTCAGACGTTTAGGTTGGCGGCTCTCCTCATGCATTTATTTCTGTACCTGTGTAAACACTTTTTAAGGAGTTGTTTTCTTAAATTCCAAAGCAGTCATGACCCATTTTTAAAAAAATGTTCCTGTGATGAAAGCATTAAGGTATAGTAGTGTTAGAGGTAGGAGTCACAGTAGTGTAGGCGCTAGATAAAAGGGTTAAAGTATAGTACAGCAGTGTTAGAGGTAGGAGTCACAATAGTGTAGGGGCTAGATGAAAGGGTTAAAGTATAGTACAGCAGTGTTAGAAGTAGGAGTCACAGTAGTGTAGGCGCTAGATAAAAGGGTTAAAGTATAGTACAGCAGTGTTAGAGGTAGGAGTCACAATAGTGTAGGCGCTAGATAAAAGGGTTAAAGTATAGTACAGCAGTGTTAGAGGTAGGAGTCACAATAGTGTAGGCGCTAGATAAAAGGGTTAAAGTATAGTACAGCAGTGTTAGAGGTAGGAGTCACAGTAGTGTAAGGGCTAGATGAAAGGGTTAAAGTATAGTACAGCAGTGTTAGAGGTAGGAGTCACAGTAGTGTAGGCGCTAGATGAAAGGGTTAAAGTATAGTACAGCAGTGTTAGAGGTAGGAGTCACAATAGTGTAGGGGCTAGATGAAAGGGTTAAGGTATAGAACAGCAGTGTTAGAGGTAGGAGTCACAATAGTGTAGGCGCTAGATGAAAGGGTTAAAGTATAGTACAGCTGTGTTAGATGTAGGAGGCACAATAGTGTTGTAGGAGCTAGATGCTCACCTGCTAGTCTCAAGGTCTTCAGTGCAAATCCACAGTGAGTCAGATTTTAAAAATAAAACTGAATTTGGCTTTAAGTCTGAAGGTAATGTCCTGGGAAATAAAGGCAGCCAGTGTAATTTTGCCAATTGATCCAAAGATTATGAGTCCAACACCCTGTGCTCATGGCCTAGAATGAATCCTTTTACTTAACTACATAATTTTGGGTGAACACTCTTCACTGCCTTAGCAGCTGAAACCCTATAAAAGGATAACGCTAAACCAAAACATTCAGTTTATTTTCAAGCAGTCACAAATGGCGCCTCTATCAATAAATTTAAGGAATATTGCTATTGGCTGATTGCAGACAGGAGAAAGTCAAAGTGAGGTTGCCAGGCATCTAAACATGTATCAGAGTACCATCAGTCGACTTTGATACCGGTTCCAAGAGGGAGATGACTCAGAGTGACAACAGCAGCGGAGAATCACTTTATTCAGCTTCGTCACCTCAGAGACAGGCTTCCAACAGCTTCCTCACCTGCGCAGGCGTTGCCTCCAGGACGTCATATGCTTTAACATGCGTCACAAGCTTCAACTTTTATATTAAACAGACTAAAAGTCATTTTATTAGATGTATCACTAGTTACATTTCATTGATGTGTTGCTTGAAAAGTTACATTTCATAGATATGCCCCTCGAGTAATCAAACTTTATAGATGTATCCATTGAATAGTCAAATTCGTAGATGTGAATTTGAAGTCAAATTTTATAGATAGAACCCTTGAGTAATAAAATTTCATAGATGTGTTTGTTGCTTGAATAGTCAGATTTTTGAACTAGTCCCTTGACTAGTCAAGTTTCATAGATGTGTCACTTAAAAAGTCAAATTTCATGGATTTGTCACTTGAATAGTCAAATTTCATGGATGTGTCACTTAAATAGTCAAATTTCATGGTTGTTGACTTCAATAGTCAAATTTCGTAGGAATGTTGCTTGAACTATCAAATTTCAAAGATGTCTCACTTGAATAGTCAGATTTCATAGATGTGTCACTTAAATAGTCAAATTTCATGGTTGTTGACTTGAATAGTCAAATTTTGTATGTATGTTGCTTGAACTATCAAATTTCAAAGATGTCTCACTTGAATAGTAGATTTCATGGATGTGTCACTTAAATAGTCAAATTTCATAGTTGTTGACTTCAATAGTCAAATTTTGTATGTATGTTGCTTGAACTATCAAATTTCAAAGATGTGTCACTTGAATAGTCAGATTTCATAAATGGGTTGCTCGAATAGTCATATTTACGTATGTGTCACTTGTGTAGTCAAATACACATAAGATAGGTTAAGAGTCTACAAGAGTTCGACCAGTCCTGATTAAAGTCAATGGTCTTGTTAAAGGTTCACAAAGACTTTCGCCTGTGGTTGACCAGCATGCCAAGTTCCATCTTCCCTGTGTACATCCTCCAGAACAGCTCCAAGATGACAGTGGAGCCTCCAAAGGGCATCAAAGCCAATTTACTGAGGTCTTATTTAGGCTTCAGTGACAAGTTCTTTAAACAGTGTCCAGGGAAGGTAATGTATGGGCTCTGTGTTGTTTGTTTAGGGTTTTACTTCATCTTTGACTGGGGATATGTCGCTGCAAAGGTTAACAAGAAGCTGCATGCAGCCTGTGTTCTTCTTTTGTCATCTCAGGGGGGCTTTGTGGTCTTGAAGCATGGTGTCAGCCTTGAGTGCTAGAGGTTCAGGGCTCAATCCTCGGTAAGGGCTGGGAGTTTTAAACGTGGACTTGGATGTCTAGTAAGTAATTCACCCTGGTCAGTGGGTAGTGAGGTTGGACGCCCATGTGCATTGTTGCACATGTAAAGAATCCCTTAGCAATTGGAAATCCAAAAGAGTAGCCTAACAGCACTGCCCGGGCAAAATTTGGAGTTTAAAATTTACCCAAAGTATTTCAGGATCCTCGCTGGTGCTACAGACTTGAGTTAGAAGAAGAACTGAGCACTTATGGGTTACTTATGATGTTGATCCATTGTTCAAAACCTCAAAACCTTTTGTCATCTCACAGATACAAGGTTGTAGCACAGTGTCCTGGTTTTCTGTTCTTATCTTGTGCTTCTTGGGTGGTGACTTGGGTAATGGATTTGTTCATTCTTATTTGTTTTTTGTTGCAGGTTTCAACTACACCATTTATCCACATCTTTCTGGATTTTCCCCTTACCTTCCTCCCTGGTGTTCTGCTGTAAAACATTTCTATCTCATTGTCTCGTAGCATTGCCAGTCTATTATCCACAATAGTGTGTCCTATAAATCATTCTTTATTGTGTAGCAGCGGTTGATTACCCACTGCTGGCTTGCTAGGTCTGTTGCATGCTGGGGCAAGAAAAGAACTAACCTGGTTCCTGGACTCAATTTTCTTTCAGACCAGCCATTGCCCAATTAGCCTGAAATCTCATGGCTTCAGTTTCCTTTCAGACCAGCAATTGCCCAGTTAGCCTGAAACCTCATGGCTTCAGTTTCCTTTCAAACCAGCCATTACCCAATTAGCCTGAAACCTCATGGCTTCAGTTTCCTTTCAGACCAGCCATTGCCCAATTAGCCTGAAACCTCATGGCTTCAGTAACCTTTCAGACCAGCCATTGTCCAAATAGCCTGAAATCTCATGGCTTCAGTTTCCTTTCACACCAGTCATTACCCAATTAGCCTGAAACCTCATGGCTTCAGTTTCCTTTCAGACCAGCAATTGCCCAATTAGCCTGAAACCTCATGGCTTCAGTAACCTTTCAGACCAGCCATTGTCCAAATAGCCTGAAACCTCATGGCTTCAGTTTCCTTTCAGACCAGCCATTGCCCAATTAGCCTAAAATCTCATGGCTTCAGCTTCCTTTCAGACCAGCCATTACCCAATTAGCCTGAAACCTCATGGCTTCAGTTTCCTTTCAGACCAGCAATTGCCCAATTAGCCTGAAACCTCATGGCTTCAGTAACCTTTCAGACCAGCCATTGTCCAAATAGCCTGAAACCTCATGGCTTCAGTTTCCTTTCAGACCAGCCATTGCCCAATTAGCCTAAAATCTCATGGCTTCAGTAACCTTTCAGACCTTTTCCCAAATAGCCAGAAATCTCATGGCTTCAGTTTCCTTTCAGACCAGTCATTACCCAATTAGCCTGAAACCTCATGGCTTCAGTTTCCTTTCAGACCAGCCATTGCCCAATGTAATGGGGGATATTTTCACCCAGATTAGGATGGTTGGGGGGAAGGCCCAAAGCTTACCTAAAACACCGAGATAGTCCAAATACTTGGATTAAACGAGAATCTGGAGATAGGTGACTAACCACTGGTTCTCACGGGGACCACGATGATGCGACCCAAGGTCGCCACGTGAAAAGTAAAGGACCACCACGTGTTGTCACGTGAAACGAACCCTTGGTATAAGTCAGACTTGACTCTGGTCAAGTTTAGTTTGTGTCGACCTGTTGGAGTGAGAGGACGTACGACTGAAAGTGAGAATGCCAACGTGAGAGTGATTGTGAAGAAAGGAGACCCTGCCGACGAAGTGTGAAGCCGAGATCGATCATGCCAGTGTGTGAGATGCCCAGAACCTCAATGTGAATCCATGGGAGCCAACTTTGGTCAGTGAATGCTTGAAGAAGACTGTTCGTTGAAGGCTGCGTGAGTTTGGGTACGAGAGCTGTTCACTAGGACACCGACCGGACATTCTGTTTTGTAAGTGTAAATACATCAATAAATTCATGTCTCGTAAGCTCACATCTGTGTCGGCTTGTGCCAGATGTGTAACACGGAGCGTGTGAGAAGATCATCCACCACACACGCATGAACACTGCCTAGACAACGAGAAGAAACACACACCACTTATTACACCCAATTAGCCTGAAATCTCATGGCTTCAGTTTCCTTTCAGACCAGCCATTGCCAAAATAGCCAGAAACCTCATGGCTTCAGTTTCCTTTCAGACCAGCCATTGCCCAATTAGCCTGAAATCTCATGGCTTCAGTTTCCTTTCAGACTAGCCATTGCCCAATTAGCCTGAAATCTCATGGCTTCAGTTTCCTTTCTGACTAGCCATTGCCCAATTAGCCTGAAACCTCATGGCTTCAGTTTTTCAGCGTGTTTCACCAGCAGGTGAGGATGACCTGTGTAAATGATCAGTGTGCAGAATGGACATAATTATTGTTACGTGAAAGACACCGTGCACTGTAGACCATAAACATGAGGCTACTGATTTCTGTCTGACACATAAGTCTGGTTGTACTATTGGGGCAGTGAGATGTGAGAACCAAGCTGGAGTTTACAGTCATTACATCAACCAATACAAAACTGGAATCTCAGTGTAAACACAATAGAAACATTCTCAGCAGAAGATCAGAGCACTTATGGGTATGTCTCATGTGCAGCCAAGATGATCTTCAAATGGATAATGAACAGTGAGCAATTTATAGGGTTTTGCTGTTACATTTTTCAAGCAATATTCAGGGTAGGTAATGTGGGGACTATATGTCATTTGTTTCTTTGGGGCATGCTTGTTGTTCAATTCTGCAGTGCCGAGAAAATCTAATGTCTCGGCCATATATAATTGTTTCTGTGGGTTACTGCTGTTGAGATTTTCAAGTAGTGTCTAGGAAAAGGAATAATGAACTACATGTGAATGGTTTGTTAGATGTGACAGTGTCGCTGTATTTGGCACATCCTGAAAAGAAGCAAACAGTACAAGAGAGGCTGTCAGTCTTTAACACCCACCCACCCAGGCATTTAGCCAGTCCCCCCCCCCCCCCCACCCCCCCATATGGCTTCAGAACCCGCATAAGGGAGCAGTCATCGCAGTGTCACATCATGGATGGAATCCAGTTAAGTATCTTTGGCTTCTCTCGATGAATTTCATCTTAAAGTTTCCCTTGGATGTCCTAATTTCCTGAGTCCATTTGTTTTCCATTTCAGTGCCTGTGCAATAATTCTGTTTCCACTTCTCCTATTCATGTGTCCAATATGTTGCCGTCTTCTTTTGCTTTTAAAGTTGCAACAAGCAGCCGTCTGGACATTTCTCTTATTTCTTCACCTTTCTTGAAGTCATCCCATTTAATATTCATAATTTTTCTTAGTTATTTGTTTTTGAAAGCATGAGTGAGTCACCTTCCACTTCACCAGGACCGCACAACAAGGGATAAACACCCCGTGACATAGAATGCCACCACTGGGATGAGAATCACCTCGGTACAAGTCTCAGAAACCCCATTCAACCTTTTGGTTATATTAGGACCCCTAACTACAGTCGAAGTGTTAAATTAACAAATTATTGCGTCCCATAATTAATAAATGTAATAATTTGGAAAGCATGTAACTTTGTTCCCTCTCTTTATGTTCTTCGGCTTTCACTGGCATGTTTACAAATTTAACTAATTTTAGATTTTAAAAATACGTAAATTGGTTTTAAAACTATTTATATTTATGTAACCAGTGGCGCCATTTCACTGTTTTGAGACAATTTCTGTCCATATTCCATTGTTATGGGTTTAAGCTGTATGATAGATATAACTGATCAAAGTAAGTAGTAAAGTAAAGATCCTTTTTCATGCTTTTAGGCACATAAGGCATACAGGAGGAACTTCCCATATTTTTAACAATCGACACTGGGTGGGTAATGTGGTCAGCACTACGCCGGCCGTCTGTACTTCACCAGGACGTGCATCCTGGTACCCATTTTAGGCTGGGTTGACCTGCGACGCCCCATACCATGATAAAAATCCACGCAGTCAGCTGTCTGCGGTACGTTGGAATTACGAGTTGGACTCACAACGCCTAAGCCCATAATTGGACATTACACAGTTATCTGTCTGTTGCAGGTAAGAATCTTCAAGCACCTCTTACTGTCAATATGCTTTTTCCATGCTGTCGTGTTGGAACGAAGGAAATTTGGTGCCCTTGGTTTCAACATCCCCTATGAGTTCACGGACGGGGATCTGAAAATTTGCATTGATCAGCTGAGCATGTTCCTGCAGGAGTATAATGACACACCATTTAAAGTAAGGCTTCAGACAGCTGCTCATTCGATGTATATTATTTATATCAGAACCAAATGTTTATTGGTCACTCCTAAGAAGTAAATTGTTGTTGCTGTCTTCTGCCACAGTCAGTCACTAAATTAACTTTGTACACTAAATTAACTTTGTATTTGAGTCATTCAATGAACTACTTCTGCCCCAGTTGTCTGTACTGAACTTCTTCGGACAAAAGTATTTATAGTTTTTAAGCTTTGCTCCTTGGGACAGGGGGAGTCAAAGTGACGGGGAGTCAAAGGGACATGGGGAGTCAAAGGGACAGGGGGAGTCAAAGTGACATCGGAGTCAAAGTGACAGGGGGGAGTCAAAGGAACATAAGAGTCAAAGTGACAGTGGGAGTCAAGGGGACAGGGGTAGGCATCAGAGAGACAGCAGGAGTCAAAGTGACAGGACGAAGTCAAAAGGGGAGGGGGGAGGGGTTCAAAGTGACACTGAAAATCAAAGTGGCGTGGGAGTCAAAGTGACAGGGAGAGTCATAGTGACGGGGGAGTCGAAGTATCCAGTTAACTATCCCAAAGAATGCACTATGTTTGAAATTATCATCATCATTATCAGGTTGTGCCATTTTATGTTACATATTACTTGCACCTGTGTCAGATCTTGGTCAGATTTGATTGAGTTACCATATCACAATAGTCTGTACCACCTGTCTTCTGTTAGTGCCGAATTTTGGGCAGCGTTTAGCAAACCTAACATCCCATATTGTACCAGTGGCTTCGGGAGGAGGAGCGAGTAGGGGATGATACCAGCCTCATCCTAGGAAGAGGACATGCATCCTGAAAACATTATGTTAGGGCAGGCAGTCCAGACCCTTAGCCTTGGCTGGCAGCTGGTCTAGGAGGTAATCTTCGACAGGTGAACAGAGAGCACTGCTCTTCTGATCCAACAACTTCTGCAGCCTGTGTTGTTCCAAATGTACTGGTGTTATTTTTCCTTTGGAGTAAACAAGGCAGGTTGATAGAGGGATCACGATGCATGGGCAACATATGGTCTCTACAATACTGCTCAGGCTGTGCTATGGAGAGGATGAGCTATAGGCTGTGAGTCCCATGCCTCCTGATAGCGAAATATAACACTATCGTCTGGAAAGACGGAAAAGTGCCAATCAATTGTTGCTTGCAGTCTGTTCTTCCATTCTGTTCTGTACTGTACAGTTTTTTTCTGCATCATGGATGGAATCCACTTCAACACATTTGGCCTCTCTCAGCAACATTCATCTTAAGGTTTCTTTTGAACGTATGTACTACTGATTCTACTTATTTCCCATTCAAGACCATTTGGCTATATGTACCAATCAGCCTGTTATGTATGTTAGTCTATTTTAAACCTCTAATCTACTTTAAATCCTGACCTTTTGTGACAAACACAGTAACTCCTTGGGAGTCGCCGGAGCGGCTAGACCCTTGCCTGTGGATCAGAAGGTTGTGGGTTCACTTCCTGGTGAAGCCGGACTTTTTTAAATAAATGACCTTACTCCCAGGTTGACCCAGCCTTGAGTGGGTACTTGGTGCAGTCCCAGGAAGTAAAGGGGGCTAGGTGATGCTAAAGGCAGGGAAAAGGGTCCTTTACTTTACTCACAGTAAATCCTGAACTCTTTAATTGCTACAGGTGTTGCTGTACACAGCAGGCCACATTAACTACGGAGGTCGTGTGACCGATGACTGGGACCGCCGCTGTTTGATGAATATCCTCGGTGACTTCTACAATGTTAAGGTCATCAGCAGCTATTTCGTGTACTCAGAGTCGGGCATTTACCGTCAGCTGGGGGCAGAGTCTGATTTAGCGGTATGTTTCAGTGTCAGGTTTGTTGTTGTTGTTTACAGAAATAATTTTACCCTCGTTGTAGTTTTTTTAATGAAGAAATAACCAAATAGAAATCTCTCAACTCTTTCTTGACCACATTGTTTTCTGAGGTGTGGACAGAATTAGTTGTGAGCGGAATTCTTTTACTGCAACATGACAAAGCTAACACCTTTCTGAAGAAAAGTATTGGCTGTTTAGAGGCGTATAATATATCAAATTAAAGATTAATGAGTGCAGAATAAATCTAAACTATTTGTCAGTATTACAACAAAATTTTATTAAAATCACACAACATTCAATGATGTTAGACACATATGAACATTATTTACCAAAACATTTTGTGCTTACCTTACTTTTTACTTCTTCAGCAATGTTGCTTTTCATTTCTAAGAATTCCCAAGCCTTCTCTGTTAAGTTATGTATCAGCTAGTCTTTATTTGAAACAATTAATTCAACTACTTTGGATGTTATGACCATTTTTGTATGACATGTCCAGATTTTGCAACAGCTGAAATTGGGAAAACAGCTGATCGAAATAGATGATCTGATTGAAATATTTTGTTCAGTCTTCATCCTAATCCTATTTATCAAGACAGGCTTGGCACATGCATTATCAATCATAATATCAAGACTGTTGTCACTATCTGGCTGAGATTCAACAACGACAGAGGAGTATTAACAGTTCTAGATCTTTTCCCTTATCATTTGATATAGAAAAATCTTATAAAAATTGAATTGTATCAAAATAATTTTCAGAAAAAGAAAGGACTTCCTATCGCTAATCCTAGTTTTTCAAAACTGTTCATACAAATTCAGTTTTCTCAGCAAACGAAACAATATTGGAGCTCTCTGTGAAGTGCCACTATAGTGGCTCCAGTGGATTCAAAAGCCATTTAAGTGATCAATAGTCCACAAAGAGTTAATACTTATGTATAGAAAAGATGAATAACTGAATAGACAGATAAAAGAAATCTGTTGATATATATGTACAGAAAAGACAATTACCTGATTAGATGGATAACACAAATCTTTTAATACATATATACAGAATAGATGAATAAACGAATAGACGGATAACAGAAATCTCTTAATACATATGAATAGTAATATGTTTTCGCTGCGGGCTTGAGACGAAAATGAAAATAAAATCCTTCACAAGTGAATAATTCATAAATATTGTATTTAATTTTACAAAACAATCAGTATTAACTTCAATATAAGAGTAGTAATGTATAGAAATGTATAGTAATACTATAAACCGAGGTTACTTTTAAATAATCTGTCATCTCCTTCTGTGTCTTTGATTCTTAAGCTTTCTGTGCGGCGGTGTTCCGTATCTTAAACAGAAGTAGATCTGTTTTGCATTTCAAACCAGTCGATGCACTTTGTTTCTGCTTCTGAGTGGCTAGTTATATAATTGTTTTTGCCTTTTTTTAGATGATAGTGAACAGAAACAGCATTACGCCGGTCTGTCTTTACCTTTCCCAGGACAGCCCATTTTGGTAGTTCATCTTTATGTGGATTTGAACCCCAGGCCTGTAGGTTGGTTGGCAAGCATCTATTCACTATGCTATCATGGCTTTAACTGCCCTTATTATACCACTTTTTTAGAGCAGTGTAAGGAAGATAGAACTAATGCAAGTACTAATAAACTTCAAACATTCATTAACTGGTGCCCATTGCAGAATAGAAGGAATTAAATGGTATGATAGAATAACTAATGTAGAGCTTTGGTAGAGAACTAAACAGGAGGTGAGGAAAAGATGCTTGTGTTGGATAGGACACACACTGAGAAAACAGGAGAACAGCATAACTAGAATGTCTTTGCATTGGAACCCACAGGGGTATAGGAATAAAGAAAGGCCAAAAAAACACATGGAAAAGAGAGCTGGAGAATGAAGTTGGAAAGATGGGGAGGACATGGGGAGAGCTCCATGCAATGGTGAATGATAGAACGACTTGGCGTGAGTTGGTTGAGGGCCTATGCTCCATTGGGGGATAGAAAGGCAGAAGAAGAAGACAGAAGATAGGTAATTTTATTTGTTTTCAGCCTGAAGACATAGGGCTGTGCAAGATAGATGGGATTCACTTTGCCTTAGTAACAGTTGTTTTGAATCAATGTCCATACAATTTCAGATGTATCTGGAATACATCCGAGGTCTGCCCATCAATGACAAGCCGGAGATCTTTGGTCTGCATGACAATGCCAATATCACATTTGCTCAGAATGAAACATCTCAGTTGTTGAACTACCTTGTGGAGCTGCAGCCAAAGACGGCCTCTGCTGGAGGCATGTCACGTGAAGAGGTTTGGTTGTGCTTGCTTTTTGAAGTCTTCCTTTAGTTCACCTTGGTTTAGTGGTAGACACTTGTCTGCAGTCCCAGAAGTGTGGGTTTAGATCTGTATTAAGACAGATTTATTTTTAGAAAATTACTTTGGCCTCTAGGTCGACTCAGCCTCAAATGAGTACCAAATGAGATGCTGGGAAGTAAAGGCGGCAGGTGGGATGTTGACCACATCGCCCATTTAGCGCCCACTGGTCTAAAAAAATATGTGTGTAGCATCATATGCTCACTGCGGCACTGGTATGAAAAGAATCCTTTACTTGACTGACTTTGGCTCTCAGCTCATTCAGTCTAAAGTAGTACATCATATGTGATTAGCTTTGTCTGTGTGTCCTCAAGCAATACGCGATGTCATCTTAGTGTGGCTTCATCATCATCATGTAAGAAACCCAGTCTGTTTGCCAGCTCTCCCGCCTCATGTACTTTCATATCCAAGGAGTCGCTTATATCCTGTGCCCATCATGCTGGTCAGCCCCTGCCTGTCTTTTCTGGTACCATGTGTTGGGATCGTCACTGGAGCTACAGAGTTTGTGCTTTATGCGGCGCTGTCAGCAGGTGGCAAGCTGTTCAGTCGAGAGATACCTTGCAATATGGGATAAAACCCGGTGCACTGAAGTCTGTCCTCTTGACTTTAACCTTTAACCTTGACTGGACATCTCACAAATGGAAGTCTGGGTGATAAAGCAAAATATGCCCTCATTTTGGATTTATACTTTTTTTTTTTAAACTTTACACCAACCAAATCTGCCTTAGCTAGTAACCACCCTACCTGATATATTGTGGTCTAGAATATATGAAAACCCAACACTAACCACCCTACCTTATATGTTATGGCCTAGAATATATGAAAGCCTCATGTTAACCATGTACTTTATATGTTGTGGCCTAGAATACATGGTCTATCCCCTCATACCCCAATCCCAACTACAGGCTAACCGCTCTGTGCTATAACTGTGCTATATGCCTAAAAGTTTGCACAGGGTTTCCAGAATTTGCACCTGTTTGATTCTCATGTTTGAGATGTTAGTCTACAGACTGCAGTCCTAAATGGGAAAATCTATTTTTTTCTTAAATAATTATGTATCTGCTTAAATAATTATGTATAATTATGTATAATTATGCTATAGGAATGTGTAATGTGTCTTCTTAGCTTCTTTCCTTGACCAATAGCAACTGTGGCTTCCCCTCTCCCAGCGGGTTAAGTTAGTACGAAACATACATTGTGGCAACACTCAGATTGACAAGGAAGCTGTTTACTGCTGTTCCAATAATGGCGTGGTCCGTCACTGTCTTCATTCCTCACTCGTTTATCAAGGATTCTGTCACAACTGCCACCATTTCAGGACTACAGCTCTAATAATCAGCCAGGTACCTTGTACTCTGGAGGTTTCATTCATACTGTTATCTCGTCTCTGAAGCACAGCAACCCAGGCATTCTTGACCCAGGGTCATTCTTGATTCAGCCATCTTCCAGCATTCCTGGTACTTGCTTCCACTGTCAGCTATCTCAGTTCGTGGCAGACACACTTCTCACTCAACTCGACCTGACTCTTGCACTCTCAAACACCAACTAATCGTTCGTACTTCCTCACCTCCAATCCTTTCTTCCTACTCCACAGGTTTCTTCTTTCAGTCCTTCACTTATACACACTTGAGTTGAGTTTAGTCAAGAATTTACATCACAGCACTTAGGGCATTCCCATATGCACTCTGTCCCCATCCTCAGCAGCCAGCACAGAATTCCAATACTAATGGTGCTGGTCGTAGTCTGGTTGAATGTCTGTCTCGCCTTTCCTCTGAGAAAAGAGTGCCGACTGAACCCTCTGGTCACCCCCAGGTGCATCATTCTCTCCAGCCCATAATAGTTTAGTTTCTCTTCTGACTTTGTTACTTGTTCCCAGAGGGCCCTGACCACATCTGCCTTGTCATTCCCCACCACACCAACATGGCCTGGAGAAAAGATCCAAAAGTATGCTCACTACCCATGACTATGCAAGTGAAGCCAGCTCACTTATACACAGGAAATTACAAGCTTAATTTTCACACTCTTCCCCCTTCTTAATGAACCCTTCACACTGAAGAACCCCTTCTGATTCATTGGATATCCCACTAATTACAGACTGCATTTACATGTTTTATAAGTATGCTGCTGTTACAGGTTGTGGAGAAGACTTCAAAATCCATCCTAGAGAAAGTCCCTAAAACCATTGATATGAAAATGTTGATGACCAAGTATCCAGTAAAATATGAGCAGTCGATGAACACAGTGCTGGCTCAAGAGGTCATCAGGTGAATGGTTTCTCTTTCTTCTTGGTGCTCACCGGCTGTAAACTCTGGGGGACATTTCTGGGTTTTCATCCACTTCTTGGTGCTCACCGGCGGTAAACTCTGGGGGACATTTCTGGGTTTTCATCCACTTCTTGGTGCTCACTGGCTGTAAACTCTGGGGGACATATCTGGGTTTTCATCCACTTCTTGGTGCTCACTGGCTGTAAACTTTGGGAAGCCTTTCTGGGTTTTCATCCACTTCTTGGTGCTCACCGGCGGTAAACTCTAGGGGACATTTCTGGGTTTTCATCCACTTCTTGGTGCTCACCGGCTGTAAACTCTGGGGGACATATCTGGGTTTTCATCCACTTATTGGTGCTCACTGGCTGTAAACTCTAGGGGACATTTCTGGGTTTTCATCCACTTCTTGGTGCTCACCGGCGGTAAACTCTGGGGGACATTTCTGGGTTTTCATCCACTTCTTGGTGCTCACTGGCTGTAAACTTTGGGGGAAATATCTGGGTTTTCATCCACTTCTTGGTGCTCACTGGCTGTAAACTTTGGGAAGCCTTTCTGGGTTTTCATCCACTTCTTGGTGCTCACTGGCTGTAAACTCTAGGGGACATTTCTGGGTTTTCATCCACTTCTTGGTGCTCACCGGCGGTAAACTCTGGGGGACATTTCTGGGTTTTCATCCACTTCTTGGTGCTCACTGGCTGTAAACTCTGGGGGAAATATCTGGGTTTTCATCCACTTCTTGGTGCTCACTGGCTGTAAACTTTGGGAAGCCTTTCTGGGTTTTCATCCACTTCTTGGTGCTCACCAGCCGTAAACTCTAGGGGACATTTCTGGGTTTTCATCCACTTCTTGGTGCTCACCGGCGGTAAACTCTGGGGGACATATCTGGGTTTTCATCCACTTATTGGTGCTCACTGGCTGTAAACTTTGGGGAGCATTTCTGGGTTTTCTTCCACTTCTTGGTGCTCACCGGCTGTAAACTCTGGGGGACATATCTGGGTTTTCATCCACTTCTTGGTGCTGACCAGCTGTAAACTTTGGGAGACATTTCTGGATTTTCATCCACTTCTTGGTGCTCACCGGCTGTAAACTTTAGGGGACAATTAGTGGGTTTTCATCCACTTCTTGGTACTCACCGGCTGTAAAATTTGGGGTAAATTTCTGGGTTTTCATCCACGTTTGAGAACTTGCGATTTGTGTGCAATTCCATTTTACAGATTTGGTTTATTTGTATGCAGGCTCTTGGTTCCTCACCTCTCAGGCAGATGCACTCCAACTTCAAAAGAAACCCTCTAATTAGTCAACTTTTACGACATATTTTTTGTAGTTGGGGCATTGGGTCTGTTCATTTCCCCCTCAAAATGGGGAAAGTTGAATGCCAGGATTTCAGTTAGATTGTATTAATATTAACTTGTACAGTACTAGAAGCTTTTACAGCTAATGAGGAGGTCTTTATCTTTCTTTGATCGCTGTTTTCTCTACTCCAACATTTGTTTATTATGGATTGTGTCTTCCATGTTAGTTATCGTGAGCAGACTCCTAACTGAATTCATGGATTCAGTGGGAATTAAGATTGGCAGTGTAAACAGAAGGATCATGTCATTAATCTTAGACTTTCAAGGTGATGTAAAATGTAACCCAAAAAAACTCTATGCTATATATATATATATTTTAGTTAAAAGGATTAATTATTATGCTACATTATATGTTAAGAAGAATTCTGTTGTAATGCACCTGACAAGATACAGTGAAGTATAAAGTGAGTAAAGGACCATTCTCATGCTAGGGCACACTGGGCACATGATTCACTCATAATCCTGTTCTGCCATTATGTGTCACAGTCTATGACTTCATTCCATTCTATCCTGTGCAATCAGTTCAATATCATGGTTGAAATCCAGTCTGGTGGCTTTGGTCTCTGTCATAATCATTCATTTTAAGGTTTCTTTTGGGCATCCTCGCCCCCTTAACTCCCTTATTTCTCATTTCAGTGCCTGTTTGGTGATTCTCTGCTGGCTGCTTCTCAGGATGTGTTCAGTGTAGCACCATCTTCTCTCTTGTCTGTCTTGTAATTGTTAATATTAGTTGTTGCCCAGTCATTTGTCTTATTTCATCATTCCTTTTAAATTCATCCCATTTTATTTTCCTCAGGCTTCTTTTTTTTTTAATTAACTTTCGTTCCATGTCTCCATGTTTCTCAGACTTTCATTTGCACATTTTAAAATTGAAATAACAGTAGATTTGAAAATGTGTAACTTGGGTTATAAGCTATACAGTTTAGATTTACATATTTTCTTTAATTTATTAAAGGCTGCTGATGCCTTGCTAGTGCGCCTGATAATTTCTTGCTCTATATTTTCTTCAGTATCAGAATGAGGTCAAAGTAAAGTTAGTCTCCCCCCCCCCCCCCCCCCCCACCACCACCATTTACAGTGTTACAACTACCTCATTTCTGATTGGTCGACTTTAAGCTTAGCTCACTTCTGATTGGTCGACCTTGAGCCACCCAACCTTCACATAAGGTTCATCATCATCATCATCATCATCATCAGGTGCCTTGCAGCATGTATCAGTTCGTGTGCCGACACACCTCCATGCCATGCAACAAGACTGTCAAGCATCTTCTCTCGTTGTCTTCGTCTATCCCTCCTTCCACAGATCTTTCCAGTGGTCACAACATGTTCTATTTTCCCTCTTCTCATAACATGGCCAAAAAATGATGACTGTCTCCTTCTGATGTCAGTGATAAGTTGTCTTCGGGCTCCCGCCTCTTTTAAAACCTCTTGGTTGCTCTTTTTGGCTGTCCAAGGTATTCTAAGCATTCTTCTGTAAAACCACATTTCTGAGGCAACTCTAAAAATTTTTTGGCCTGCCTACCGATTGTCCAGGATTCACATCCATATGTTAAAACTAGATGTATATAGCAAGCAAGAATTCTTTTTCTAACTCTCAATGACAAGGATATATTGCACAAGATGTTTTTCATTTTATAAAATGCAGTTTTTGCCTGTCCAATTCTGTTTCTTATTTCAGTTATGCATCTTCCATCTGATGTTATCCATGTGCCCAGATACTTAAATTTCTGTACTTGTCTTAAAATAACACCATTGACTTTTATTACACATTTAGGAATAATTTGTTTCTTTGATACCACCATTACTTCTGTCTTCCCATTATTCAAACTGAGGCCCATTCTTCCACTTTCTAACACCACAATGTCTATCATTTCCTGTAATTCTTTCTAACTTGTTGCTATCAAGACTGTGTCATCAGCATAACATAAATTGTTTATATTGTGCCCACCAACCACGATTCCGGGCATATCAATTAAAGATCTCATAATATATTCACTGTATATTGAAAACAAATCAGGTGAAAGTACACATCCTTGTCGTACGCCCCTCTTTATGCTTTGAAATGTACCTAAACAGCTGTTAATTCTTATAGCTGCTGTTTGCTGCCAATACATATTTTTTATTATTCTTAGATCTTTCCCATCAATGTTTAATTTTTCTAACAGTTTGATTACTTCTTCATGCTTCACACAGTCAAATGCTTTTGTATAGTCTATGAAGCATAAGTACAAATCAGTCTTTACTTCTATAGCTCTTTCTGACAATGTCCTTAGGATGTATATGGCATTGTTTGTACCTTTTCCTTCAACAAATCCACATTGTTCATCGCTTATTTCTGGTTTAATTTTGTTTCTTATTCTTCTCATAATTATTCTCAGTAAAATCTTAGTCATGTGACTCATAAGACTTATTGTGCGATGGTCTTCACATTTTAAAGTGCCTGGTTTCTTCAGCAGAGCTATAAATATGGATTTTAAAAGGTCATTTGGAATATACCCACTGTTATAAATATCATTTAAAAGTTTAGTTATTATTTCAATTCCAAAATTTCCCAGTGCTTCGATTTCTTCCAGTGAGATGTTGTCTGGCCCGGGTGCTTTTCCTTTCTTCATATGATGTATTGCATCCTCAACTTCTGCAGTCATTATTGGTGGACCATCATTGTTGGTCTGCAGTTCTACGTCTGGTCTATTATCATCATACAGTTCCCCTATATACTCTGTCCATCTGTTAATTATATTACTATGTCACATAAGGTTACGAGGGGTTTTCCTCAATGTTTTCGCATGTTGTATGTTTCAGTATGCCAGCCCTTTTTAACACTCCAAAAAACATGGACAGACTGGCTCTAACACACAACCCCCCCCCCCCTCCCCCCTAGAGGGAGCTGCATTCTCATTCTTAGAAGAAAAACGTAAATGAAAGACAAGCCAGAAAGCAAACAACAGAGCGGCACACCCCTAACCCCTAGGAAAGTAGACCAGTCCAACAAAGTTATCAATTGAACGCGGCCTACTTTGTTTGGGAGACTAACATTTTTTTAATATCAAAATGACCACCTCAATCAGTAATTGATCAGTTACTTTAATTAATTTTGCCTCTAGGGACTTATAGTGCTAGGCTCCTATTTTTGTTGACCAATCAGCACGTAATGACTGATTTGGTTGCCATCACACTGGCCACCTTTACTTCCCAGAGCTTTGCCAGGTACCTGTTTTAGGCTGGGTCGACCGGACAGGGAAATGTGTGCAATTATTAGTAATTGTTCAGCGTATGCACAGCTTAGTCTAAACAATTCCTTGTTGTGCCCTTGTGGGATATGTGTGCAAACTACAGAACATGTCCTGCAAAAATGTCACTTGGACAGCTCTTTAAGTAGTGAATGAATGAATAAATGAATGAATGAATTAAGAAATGACATCAAGGCGCTCAAGATATTCCCACATGCGCTCTGTCCCCTTCTTCAGGAACCAACAGAGTCGACATGCTATTAGTACCAGTGGCGACTTGATTAAAAGTCTGCCTCTGTTTCCCCTTGAGTGTTGAATAACTCCCAGAATCTCTGCTCACTCCCATTGAATTAGCTTTCAGTGTATGGATTCCCTATCTGTTCTACTGTAATGTCCATTTGATCCCAGACAGCCTTCA